CTCAAAGTAACTGGAATAAGGAGTGCTAGTTATGTGCAAGATGCTACTGTTACTGAACATGTGAATGTTGCTGAAATTGTTTGAGATGTTAAAACCTAGTAGCTGTGGAGAAAATCCAGCCACCTTAGGATGTGTTCAGTGAGCTGCTGAATTAATTGTGCTTGTAGGCATGTTCAGCACAAGGCAGTCTGCCATGTGAACTTCAGACCAGACTGGCTGCATCTCACTTTTCCTTTGTCAGGTTGCTCAGCATCCCTTCCTTACTCCAAAGTCTATGTTTGCTTTGAGGAAAAAAACCATTAAAAAAATTATTATTTGTCCTTTGTTCTGTACTCTACTATGATATACAGTAAAAACTTGTTAGTCTTCTGGCTGGTTTGGGAGCAGTTAGGTCTTGTGTTTCTTTTTAGCTCAGTTCAAGTCTTGTCTAGAAAATACCAGTTGGTTCTGAGCTCCAGTCTCAGCAAAGCTGACTATAATCAGACTTCACTCTGAAGCTGTGATTTGCTGTGATTGCCTTTTTATTCTACCTCTGAAGTGCAGAGCAGTGAAAGGAACAGCCAAGCAGTGAATTTGAAGCCCCTGATCACTTAATTGCATTCCATTTCACAAGGATGGTATAAACTTCTTGTGGTGTGTAAGCTGCAATGTAGTAGAATCTTATGAGGATACAGTCTCATTAAATCATCTGCCAGTTTTATGTTCTATAGGAGCAAAATTTGATGTTCAAGGAAAAAAGGGAAGGGATTCAGATAAATTCAATAAATTGAAAGACGCTTTTTGAGTTGCTTTGTTTGTAGAATTCATGCTTTACATTTACTGCCTTTTAAGAGCAACAAACTGCCTTTCCCCCAGTACTTGTATTTCTAAGGCTAATGTGAATGCACAGCCCTTTCTCAAGGAATGCACTAGTGGAAAACTGAGGGGGAGTGCAGAAGCTCCCATTGCTGGACCTGTCATCTGTAGGATCAGAGGATGTCTGTGATCTCTCTAGGCAGGCTTGCTTGCTCGAGGCACTTATGCTATTTTTCAGGGAGAGATTTATTTCTGAAGGAAATTTTCAGAGGGATTCTCATATCAAATGTGATCACTGCTAAAGGAACACATGCAGGGTCAGTGTCTGAGCAGTAAGTGCATTACTGATAGGCAGAACTTAATGGTTCTCCAGTTTTGTAGCTTAACTTGCAAGTCTGCCATGTTCTTATCTGTGCAGATTTGTTTGTAATTAGTAGCTATGCAAGGGATTTGGTTTAAAGATGAAAGTGTAAATTTCATGAACGCCATCTTGACACTAAATTTGGGTCTGTCTTAAAGAAATCAGACTGCCTTAAAGAAGTCAGACTGCCTTAAAGAAATTTCAAAGATCCACTCTCATTTTTTTGTATTTCCAAGTTTCCATGGATAGCAGCTGTCTTTACCAACCCTACTTAGGGGACTGTGCAGCAAAATGTTCATTTGTTTTTGGTGATGCCACAAGCTTGTGTCTGGGTCATGTGTATATATGTTTATGTGTGTGCTGTGGCATGACACACTCTTTCCTCTAAGCAAGAAGCCAACAGGAGCGTGCCTGGGGCTAGGGTTGTTCCTGAAAATTAATAAAAACCTGCTGTTATTGTGCAATAGTTTTGGGATTTTCTCTAGATATGTTATAGCTCACGTGTAAGATAATGGAAATAATGAACCCACAAGTGGTGCAGTTGCTAAAATGTCTGCCTGTTGACTGTGTTAATATTCCCACTGAGTCACACAGACATGTCAATTCTTCTGTCCCCAAAGAGCAAACTGAACAGGCTCTGGCATCACTCCAAGTGTTTACTCACTCCTTTAGGGAAAGGGAGGGAGTTACCCCTCTCCCTCAGGAATGCTCTGATCTAGACACTTCAGTCAAACACTTGTGTGCTCTCAAAGGGGGACTGGGAAAGTTTTTTTTATCCTGCAGGAGAGAAAGCCTTGTTGCCTGGTGCTGGATTACTGTGCTCTCTTGTAAATCAGGCTTTACAACAGCAGGGCTTCATTCTAAATTTCTAGCCAAAATAATATAATTTACTTATCTTGAGGAAAATTTTCAGGTATCCCTATAGAAAAAGTTTCAGATGAGAATTTTGTTTAAAGGGAAAAGCAGAACTTGTGATGAGGGCTGCAAACATATAAAAGCAGTTTGAGTCATAAGGGCAGCTGGACTCTTGACATAAAATGGAGACATATAGTCCATCTCAGTCTTCAGAGGGAAAATTCTGCACTTCTCAAGTGACCTAACAGTTGGACATAATAAATAAAGACATCTACCTTGCCTGTGTGATTTAATGTAATTTCTTTCCATGTTTAACACACCAGCACAGAAGGTAGCCCTGCCTTTTCACTCAAGTTTAGACTGATGATGCCTTTCCTGTGCAGATGTGAATGGGGCTCCTCTCCTGCAAGGGTGAAATGCCTGCAGTTTGGAAGAGATCAAAGAAAATCTACTGGCTTCAGCAATTAATTTTGGTTTCAAGAGAAAACTGAAATCAAATTGCAGCATTCATGCGGTGTGAACTAAAAATTATGTAATACTCATAGAGGAACTCTGCACTGGTTGTTCAACTGTTAGTTATACAGAGTGAAGCCAACATTTATTTATATAGCTATTTATTTATGTAATCTTGATATAGTTATTTGAGGGAAGTAACTTATAATTTCTAGGATAAGTCTTGAATAAGTGAAAGAAAAATTCTGTAGCACAAAATAGATCTGTGTTGCTGTAGAAGACATTGATTACACTGTAGCATGATTGTGCACTGATTAAGAAGGTTTTCAAGTGGCTATAAATAAATTCCTCCATGCCCATAGAGGAGCACTCTTTGCATCTGAACAGTATTTGATTAAGAATCCAGTGCCTGAGGGAACTGGAAAAGAGAAAGACATTCAAGACTTTGAAACATGGAGAGAAATACAAAACAGACATTTTCCAAGCAGTAGCATTTTACTGTTAAATATTAACCAATTAACAAAGTTTGAATATTATATAAGCAAGTAACACATGTCCTAACGTGTCCAGAGGCAATCTCTGGGTAGGAAATGCCAAGGGCATCTCTCCTTAAAATTAGCATCAGAATTAGAAGATCTGTGTTAGGTCCTTAATTTCCCATATCCAGGGGCTTATCTAATTGGGGAAAATTAAATGGAAAATCACTCTCTCCGGGAATGCTCTTAGAGCAGCAGGATCCATGCAGGAACCACTCAGTCAGTTCAGCTGGTAAATCTCCAGCAATGTCTCTTACTCGTGGCTTCAGGTGAGGGATTGAAGACAATGCCTCATGAATTGCTGTGTGCCAGAGGATCAGGACTCTCCTTAATGTTTGATCCGTGTTAAGTTACCATCTGCTGGCTAATGCCTTTTATTTTATTTTTCCTTTATAGTAAAGGTAGACCACCAGAAATTTGTTGCTTCCTTTTCTGTTATAAAAACAAGTAAAAGAATTGTAATAGTTAAATCTAGATTCAGTCCCTAAAGTACAGCTCTTCAATTCTACATCTTCTATTGCTGTGGTACAAAGAGTGACTGAAAGAAAAGGAGAAAAAGTCTCATGCCAGTGTAATTCACCCAGTTTTGAAGCTTCCTGTGAATTAAATGTGATTGCACACTTGGGTCTGCTTGCACACTAGTCCTTTCATAGGTGGTTGCTTGTGCAGCTGAAAGTAGATGGGCATTGCCAAATAATTTCTGTGACTGCTTGGCAAAACCTGTCCTCACAAATAGCCTCACTGTGCCTGTGCTCACAAATAGCCCAGTGCTAGCAGCAGCATTTTTGGTAGTGAAGTACTATTGAAAAGCATGAAGGAAGGCAGTATAAAGCAAAAGTGCCAGGGTTGCAATGTACGATTAGTGCATAATGGGCATAATTTGTTTTTAGAAAAAGCTCAAAGCAGAGGCTGAATTTAAACAACTGTCTGCTGAATTTTTTTGTATGACACGCAATCAATAAAGCATTATCCTTGAAAATTGTAGGAAGGTCAGTTATGCTGGAAATAGAGTGCTAAGGAAAGTGCACAGAAGTTCTTGGGAAACAGGAAGACCTAGTCACCCCTTTTGTACTGAGTGACAGATTGTGTTAGGAGCAGGAGGGAATCTTACATGGAGGTGGGAAAAGATGGCAATTCTGGGAAGTTCTCAGCACCAGGCACTGGAGCAGAGCAGGCACTGGGGCGTCCAGCCCTCGGAAGGATTTTTGGTGCTTTTTGCCAGCCTGTCTCGGCACCCCAAACCCCGCCTGCAGTGGAAAACGCACCTGGGCGCCAAACCCCGTCTCTGGTGACGTCTGTCTGTGCTGTGGCCTGAAAATGGAGCCAGGTGTGGCCAGAACTGCAAACGGGACGTGAGCACGGGCAGGGAGGTGCGGTGCTGTGTGCGGGAGCGGCCGGAGAGCCCTCCCCGGGCACAGAGCCGGGACTCGGAACCCCGGCCCCGCTCCGGGACACGGCACAGCCCGGGACACGGCACAGCCCGGGACACAGCCCCGCCCCGGGACACCGCTCAGCCCGGGACACAGCCCCGCTCCGGGACACGGCACAGCCCCGGGACACGGCACAGCCCCGGGACACGGCACAGCCCGGGACACAGCCCCGCTCCGGGACACGGCACAGCCCGGAACACGGCACAGCCCGGACCCCGGGATCCCGGTCCCGCCCCGGGACACGCACAGCCCGGACCCCAGGATTCCCGGTCCCGCCCCGGGACACCGCACAGCCCGGACCCCGGGATCCCGGTCCCGCCCCGGGACACGGCACATCCCGGACACCCGGACCACGATCCCGCTGCGGAAGCGGCCGCCCGGGCTAAGGGGGCAGCCCCGCCCCGCCACGCGGCACGGGGCGCGCAGGGCCCGACGGGAGCTGTAGTCCCGAGGCAGGGGAGCGCACAGCCGACGGGAGTTGTAGTCCTATTACAGCAGCGCAGCGCGGCCCCCTGGCGGCAAGGACTCCGGCTCCCAGCATGCCCTGGGAGCCCCGCCCTCCCCCGGCCGGCGCCGCGGCTGCCAGCGCGGAGCGGGCACGGCGCGGGGGGCGCAGTGCCGTGAGGGGCCGCGCGATGTGGCTGAAGCCCGAGGAGGTGCTGCTGAAAAATGCCCTCAAGCTGTGGGTGCAGGAGCGCTCCAACCAGTACTTCGTGCTGCAGAGGCGGCGGGGCTATGGCGAGGAGGGCGGAGGCGGGCTGGCAGGTACTGCCCCGTGGGGCCGGGGCAGGGCAGCCGCGGGAGGACGGGGCTCTGCCGGCCCCGGGGCTCCCAGCCGGAGGGGCAGGAAGGGGACCCGCTCCGGTGCTGGAGCCCCGGACTCGCCGGGTTTCTCCCGGGGCTGTTCTCGCCTTCCTTGCCCCGGGCAGCGCGGCCCCAGGGGCGGCAGAGTCCGGCGGGGACGGGCACGGGCACGGGCACGGGCGGGTCGGGCTGCGGGCACGGGCACCGGCGGGTCGGGCTGCGGGCGCTCCGGTGCCCGGCTCGGCCTCGGCACGGCTGCGGTGCCTCTGCTCAGCGGGGTCCGGCACGGCTCCCGGGCACCCCGGGGCAAGCGGCTGATCTGGCTTGCTTTGTTGGCAAAGATGCTCATTTCCCTTTTTCTGCATCTGGGGCTGCTTGGGATGAGCTCCCGCTCAGGCATTTCGGATTGCTTGTTTTCAAAGCAAGTATGTGATTTGATGGGGCTTGTGGTGGGTTAGGAAAGTGGCAGAGGGGTGGGATAGGACATTGACCATCGTATAATAAACTTTATTCCATGAGAACTTCACGGTATGGAGCTGAGTTTCTATTTATAATTCTTGCCTGCTTGTATCATCAGGCACTGCAGTGGCCCCAGCTACTGCTGAGACCTCTGTGATGGTGGCAGCTATTCTGACTAGAACTGACTCCTTTATAGACTGGTGTCATTGACCCTGTCAAGGAGAAATGCTACAGGGAATCACCATAAACTCATTCCTCAGTGGGATGTGGTTCTCGAGTGTTTTACATTTCTGTAGCTTTTCTAGGCTCTCTCTAATTTGTGTCATCCTAAAGCAAGCTATGTTAAACATAAAGCATAATTGTCATGTGGGAACATTTATTAATTTTACTGAACAAAACCACAAGGTTCAAACTTCAGGCTGGTGAATTTCAGATATAGAAATGGCCCTTGCAGCTGAAGGTGGATCGTTCTTCACTGGCATCTGAACCACTGGCAGGGCACATGAAAAGTGTGAAAGAAATAATCCCAAAATCCCAGTTTACTATGCATATCATAGTATTATAAGCAGATAGGTAATGCCAGGCCTTGGCTTAGAACTAAGGGTGATGTATTGCAAGCTTGAAAGTCTTGTGGGGATCAGGCTTGATGGCCTGTTCTCTACCTTGATATATTTGGAAGCCAAGGAAACCACGTTGCTATGAAGGTTGACTTTCTGCATGATAAAATTCATTTAAGGACTGTGATTAAAGTGGAACAATGAGAACTGGAATAAATTGTTCTTTTGAAAACCTCCTCATAGGCTTACAGCTGGATAGACAGCTGGGCCCTCCAAGTGCCCTTTGGGTTTTGGTGAAGGTGAGGCTTCTGTAACAGCTCTCCTGTTCTTAAAGATTGTTGACAGTGTGGGAAGAACACTTGGATGGGATAAGTGCTGTAGTATGCTTTTTTTGATGTGGCATTGCACATATTATTTCTGTAACTTTTCTTGTAAATTCTTACAGATTCTTCTGTGCAAGTTATGTTTTTCCCTGGACAGAAACAAAAGGAGTGAGGTGTTCTTTAATTAAAATTGTGATTAAGAAAGATTAACAAGACAGTTGCATAAAAATGCAATTAAATTTTGCTTGCAGGTTTGGAAATATTCAAACCTCCTAGGTATAAGCCAGCGTTAATTTGATATTGCTGCATGTCACTTCAGAAAATTAGCATTTCTTTAGGAAAAAGCAAAGCACAGCTGCTGTGTTATGAAATCATCCCAAATGTACAATCCTGTTCTCCTGAAGAGTGTTTTACAGCTGGTGAGACAAGGCCCGAGGTGACTGGCAGCACTGAGGGACTGGTTAGGAGTGAAAGAGGGAGGCAGCAGTGCAAGATGAGTCACGAGGGAAGAGAGGGACAATGCCTCTGGGCTGGAGTGAAAACAAAAATGGGTGGTGCTGCAGGGTTTGAATAGCACTAATGGGGACGTGACAAAGGATTCCCAAAAATACAGGAATACAGTTGGCAAGACAGGCTTTAAGGAGAGAAACTTTGAGGAAACAGCCAATACCTGGAGAAAGGTACAGACAAAGGAGCAAAAGATAGATGTCAACAGAGGTGCTTACCTGGAGGAAGGCTGGGAATTCTGGTGCTGTCCTGGGAATAGAAGGAAGGGTGCAGTGGGATTTGTTTGTATGACCCCTCTGGGCTGACCGGGGCAGGACCAGTTTGTAGATGACACAGGGAGCTGTTCTGGCTTGTGTGCACACACACCACACTTCAGTTTGGTTGTGTGGATGAGTTGTGAACAGGTCCAGAAACACCTTGTGCTGGCTGTGCTCAGCCCTGCCTCCCTCCCTGCAGATATGTACTGCTCAGCTTTACACTTCATTCTCTGTTTTAGAGCTCCTGAAGGGTACAGGTGCTGTAACCTGTCTGAGTGGTGCCCCTCTGGGTGATTCATCATGCAGTGGGCTGTCCCAAAGTGTCTTGGCTGACAATGCATCCGTGTCACTATGTCCTCTGGTAGTTCTGTCTCCTGCAGAGCCACTCTGGGAGAGCTGATCAGTCTTTCCAGAGTGGATGGTAAGAATATAGTTGTGAATACATGTGCTGTAACTAAGGTCTAGTGAGATTAAGCATGCTGATCACAGAGGTCTAGCTTTGGTTCTAGTTTAGGAAGGACCTTGATTAGGAGATGGCTACACTGGGAGTAGTGATGCAAATGAGTATTTGGTGTCATAAAATTCCAAGTTTTCATAAATTTCCAGCTAAAGTTTTAACAAACCAATTGCTTATTTCCTGCTTCTGCTGTTTCAATTTGCCTCTTTCTGCTTGAGAAATATAAGTAAAATGCAACTGTGAGAGGAGAAAAACTTATCAGTGAAATAAATATATTGTTGGAACTAGCCTTCCGTGTGCCATGCTCAGAAAGGTGGCAAAAACCTGTGACTCTCCATGTCCTGGATCTCCTGTGGCAATTGTTGCCATCCCAAATCTGTGAAAGGCCCCCTCCTGCTGGTGTTTCCACTGTTTAAAAGCTGTGGCTTGTTGAGTGGGGCATTGCTGGCTGGCTTGCATGCACAGGGGCTGGGACAAGGGGAGACAGAGCTGGGCAGGGATGGGGCCTGTGGGGAAATTTTCCTTCTCTGACATCTGACAGAAGGAACAATGTTTGAGTATTAGTTGTGTCTGTAAATTGTCCCATTGGGAAGTAGCAATCCAAGGGAGTGCCTGGGGAGAGACACACAAACACTTGAGGGTATAGCACCCCTGACCAATAATGCAGTATCACAACCATTGGCAGTGGAGGACTTTCAGGACTAGGATGAGAAGATGAGTGAGCCTCTGCTTGTTCCTCACAGTTATGGCAGTGTCCATGGCCATGGAATTAGTTTGTACTGTACTGTTTATTGCCTTAGGCTCAAACCTGTAGTCTGGATCCCATTCATGACTTGTGGCAATGCTGAGGTGATGGATGCTCATCTGGTACAGTTCATTGTGTCTAAAATCTGATGACCTTCCAAGGAGACAGGAGCTGTGATGGCATTTTCAGGAGTGCTGCTGTCTAGTGTGCTGTGTAACCATAAGGCTGGCTGAGCTAGCCTTATACATGGTGAATAATATCCTTGTACTGTATGTTATAACAGAAAATGTTATTAAGAGATTTGTGATTGAAATAATTAAATGTTTGCTGAAGCAAAGCCATCTTTGAGATCAGCTCAGTGTCATGACTCATGCAGTAAGCAAAAGCTGCTTAAACAGACATAAATTTGTTACTTATTCAATGTTTGTCTTCAGTCAGGAGCTACAAAATAATTCTACTTTCCAACAGCAATTTACAATCTGTTAATTGCAGACAAGACCAGAGATATACTGCTCAGGTTGTGGAGTTTGTTTGTATTTTGTTTTTCTTGTGGTTGTTTTTTGGTTTTGTTTTGGGGTTTTTTTTTAGTGGTTTGTTGTAATATTTACTTCCATGTTTTTGAGGAGAAGCAAAAACATTTGAAACTTGAATAGCCACAATGAGGTTGTCCCACAGGCTCTATGCTGAAAGTGTATCCTCAGGAAAACCATGCTCTGAGAATGAGTGTCTAAAACTTATAAATTCTGCTTTATTTTGTTTCCTTTTATTCTTTCACAATTTCTATTTTTCAGAATTTGGGAGGGAGTTAATGGAAAGAAAGTGAAACCCGAAGTACCAAAGCAGCCAATCTAAAAATTCCAAAATAACTTTTGAGGGATGCATTTTAAGTTGTCTAAATCTAGTGCTTCTACAGAATATTAAAAACCAAAATTAAAAAATAATTTTCCGTTAAACAGGGAACGTTAAGCGTATTAAAGATATAAAGGTTCTATAAGGGCTGAGTTAGTTTTGTATTCCAGCTCTCTACTGACATTTATTGGGAATGCTTTGCCTCCATGATCTCAACAGGTTTCTGAAATAGACTTTACAGCAGCTCTTTGAGTAATTGTGTTATGAATTTTTGGGTAATCTCATATCTTATTTTTCTGTTCTTCTGTAGGAGACTTAAGAGCCCACTGTGATTGCTTTGGTAACTTTGCTTCAATTGAATTTTCTGTTTCTGTTGCCATATTAGAAGGGTGCAAACATAGGAAATGCAGGAAAGAAGCATAAGATCCTGTTGATTGTATTTTTGTTTCTGTTGTAACAAGAAAATATTTTATGATGCATCAGGAACCAAAAGTTTCAATTGTGTCTTCAGTATTGATTTTTCTTCTTTTATAATTTCCAGATTTTTAGATTTTAGAGGATCAATTAAGATATCTGGGCTAATTTCTTTATTACTGCACAGTAAGAGAGAATGATTTTGAGTCATTATGAAATGCACCCTCATTTTCCCAGACAATGTTTTTGTCCTTGTTCTGGAAAGATGAAGTTTGTCTTTTTAGTGAAATGAGTATATTTTCATCTGAACTCTCTTTAATGCGAGCTAATTCAGTACTTAGTGGCATGGAGGTGACAGCCAATTATGTTCTGGAAGGGCTCCTTCCTGTGCCTGGAAAACAGAACAACAATAAATGACTAATTAAGAGGTAGTTCAGTCACTGGTTGTGCTGACTGAAGGCTGGGACTGCCTTGTTCCATTTCTGGTTGTGCTCTGGTTTCACATTCTGCATAGCTGTCACTTCCACAGGGGCCATCTCAAGAAACTTCTTCACTCTCATTTGTGCCTTGTGGCTTTTACTGGATTAAAATATCACATCCCAAAGAAGTTCCTCTGGGAATACTTTGTGTTATACTCAAGTGTGCTTCTTATTTTCTCAGAGTTCATTAGTCCTTACTTGTGCAGCATTCCTGTTCCCCAAGAAGCAAATCAGAGGGGAGTGTGCATTTCAAAACTGGAGTTTCACTGTGCTGTGTACATTTTCTTGGACACGACAGGTCTCCTTGTGGGAACACTGGATGCAGTGTTGGACTCCACATCGAAAGTCGCCCCGTTCCGCATCCTGCACCAGACCCCCGACTCGCAGGTCTACTGGTCCATCGCGTGCGGTACGTTCTGTGCTCTGCCAGCCAGCCCACTGAGTGGAAAGGAGGGTGCAAAGTATGGCATCCATTTCTGGCTTAATCCTCTCACATCATTACTCATTCTCATGACTTCTAAATGGTTAAGAAGCATTTGCAAGCCTGAGCTTGACAGCAGAGTGTGGTTCCAGTTTTTCAGAATAGATCTATGGACTCTTCCTATCACACCTGATTGCCTTTCTGCAGGAGCCCTTCAGGTACCAAAGCCTTTGGGCACTGTTACAGTGACAGAGGCACAGTCTTTTATTTTGTAAGGTGCAAGGATAACTTGACACACTTCAGGATGGACTCCCAGGATCAGCTAATTCTAGTGTTCTGTAGGTAGGAATAACAGTAGATGCTTATCCTGATATTTTTGTTTACTTTGTCTTTAAATGTTAAAACATGCAAGTTCACAGTCATGGTCAGAGCTAAATTCTTCCTTGTGTCTGTTGCTCTTTTAGTATAAATTCTATCTCTTTCTCATGTTGTGTTATTAATCAGTATGGAATGGAAGAGTAAATACAGATTTGTTCTTGTAGCTTTAATTTAATATAATTGCATGTCACTTTAAAAGGGCAGCCTTAAAGAATTTGAACAGTTTGTGAATTGACAATCAATAACATTTCAGGGCCACTTCTGAAGAAGTCAGACCTGGTGACAGGCTATCAAAAAAGTACTTTAATATGTATGTTGGAAGTGTACTCCGGGGAATTCTACTGCAATCAGGTCAGGCTTTGGGAAAATACAAAGGGTAATCTTTGTTGTAGAACTGAGTTTATATAGGTCCTGTGCTGCATATATATGCTTTACAACAGAAAGCTACATAATATAATTGTCCTAATCGTGTTAGATTGTTTCTTCTGTGAAGAAATTAAAGGGATGACACTTTGTTCCTGTTGTTACATATTAAGGGTCTGAAACAGTGCTCCTAAACCATTTAAACAATTACAAAAAAAGTTTCATTATTTCTGGGTGACCTCTTTGCCTCTGATTCACATTGTGACTCAAATAATTGGCCTACATGTGTAGTCTGAGAAAAAGAATTACTTTTGCAAGGTAAATTAATTACTCTTCATATAATTTAAGTCTTGCCGCAAATCCACCCAGCAAATGCAGCCTGATTATTTAGCTATATTTAGAGCAATTTCTACTCATTCACAAGGCCACTTTAATTCCGTGGAGTCCAATGAACGTTGGTTAATTACCGTTTAGAAAGTAAGCTGAGAAAAAAGCAATTGTTCAAAGCGTGTTCTTGCTTGAGGGTATCAACAGTATGTGCTTGTACTGCCTGCTCTGATTGGTGAGTATTCTTGTGGAGGATGAAGCTGCCAATTAATTTATATTCTAGAATGCCTTTATTCAAACCTATGTAAGTTCTTTCACTTCCCTGTCCCCCAGCATCTGATGGGGAATCACAGTCTTTAAAGCACTGATTCTGTTTTGAATTTACTGAAACCCTGTGTTTTCACTCATGGCATCTCAGTCCTTGCTGCCTCCCTGGTTCCAGTGATGTTTGCTTTACATCCTCACATGTGTAAGGGATTCTGCACAGCAGGCCTCAGTCTTAAGTTCTGCTCTGGAAACTGTTGTGGGCCAGTGATCAAAGCTGAGGATATCAAAGGCACAGGTTTAATTTCCTGCTGAGCCTCATGGGTTTGGTCTCACATTTCCCACATTCTGGGCTGTTAAACTGGGAGTGCTGCGGTGGTGCTGTGCTGCCCGTGTTGGGGAGGCGCTGCCGACAGGACGGAACTATCAGTCCGACTCAGGCTTCAGCACTGAGCCACATAATGTTGACAAAGCTGAGATGCTTTCGGATTTAATGGCCAGAAATAGAGCTGTATAAAGGACTTGAAAGATAAAAACACAGTGGTACATATGTTTCATGTACACTGAATACGTTTTCAGTGTTCACAAGAGGTAACAAGAAATTTAAGACTTGTGATTTTGACTTGTGTATCTAAATTGCTCTGTGACTCGGGAATTTGCTAAGTATTCTCTTGATGAATAGTTTTGGTGAAATGATTGAAGTCTGTCCTAATTTAAAGTAATACTTTCTTTTTCAATAGGATCCAGCAGAGAAGAAATAACAGAACATTGGGAGTGGTTAGAACACAATGTTATGAAGACTTTATCAGTGTTTGATTCAAATGAAGACATTACGAGCTTTGTCCATGGAAAGATAAGAGTAAGTAACAGGCATAATTGGGAAAGGCTAAGTATTCTTTTTCCTTTAACTGTACACAAACAATACCTTCTCTGTAGAGTATTCCAGGACAGCACTGTAATGCTGCCTATTCTGATTGAGTAGTGTGACTGTTCACTTTAACATGTGCCATTGTTCCTGTGTCTCTGCCCCACAACTAAGATTGTTGGACATAAACTCCACTTAATAAATGATACATCAAATGCCTTTAGATAGTGGTCTAAAACTGTTGATAAATTATTTCACATTAAGTTTAACAGTGCCTGGGAAGTATATGGTCTATTTTTTTTCCCCCTATATTTGCTCTCAGGAACTCTTGGGATTAAGTGAATAAAATATGTCTGTTTCAGAAGAGAAGACACAGGAATGTGTATCTTGCCTAAGCTGTGTCAGAGACTTGGTGGATGAGTCTGAAACAGCACATTTTATTTGTGACCTATGATTTGATCCTCAGACTCTACTTCCCCTTCTAGAACTTACTCTCCTGTTGGGAGAACAGGAGCTGTGTTCTGTGCATGCAGGTGCATCTATGACAGCCACCCACATGGGCACATGCATAAAGTAATGTGATTTTTTGTTGTAGGGTTTGATTGCTGAAGAGGGAAAAGATTCTTTTGTAAGAGAAGACGATCCTGAGAAGTTCCGTGAAGGTCTTATGAAGTTTGAGAAGTGTTTTGGATTACCAGAGCAGGAGAAGCTGATTACCTACTACTCGTGCAGTTACTGGAAGGGCAGAGTGCCCTGTCAGGGATGGCTGTATCTTAGTACCAACTTCCTTAGCTTCTACTCGTTTTTGCTTGGAGCAGAAAGTAAGTAAGCCTTGATGCTGAGCTGTGTCCCTTCATGCTTCATTGCTCATCTTTCAGATTAGGAGGAATACTTCCTGTGGGCTAAGAGAGCTATTTTGCCGTGTGAGCAGATGTCCACAGACATGAGCAGAAGCTGCCAACATAATTTATGAAAATGCATACATTTGTGTAACATGCTACTCAATATCCATTATTATGGATATTCCTTAATTCAAGCTTCAGAGAGAAGGCAGACTTCCAGAAATTGACTATAGCTAAAAGTTGTCCATCATCTTAGTTCATGTTGCAATATTAACTCTATGAGGATTACAGTTCCTTCACACACAGGCTTAATATTTCACATGGGTGTACTACACACTGGTGATAACTGCACATAACTCTTTTTTTCCCTGTGTAACATTAGTTTGAAATGCCCAAACAAATGTCTCTAATAGTGTGTGCTATAACTGTATTTACATGAAAAATTGAAAACATACAGAAAATAGGATCCTTTCAAAGCTGATTCTGATCTGTATTGAGAAATGCCATGGCTCCAGGGCACTGTTCCTCTACATGCCTATACACGATGGATTTAATTTAAGAAGACCTACTGGTGACCTGTTGAAGGGGGTTGGCTTGTTTGATGGTGTTTGTTTGGTGTTTACAGTTTCACATAAGAGCATGGAATAGGTGATGTCAACTTGTGTTGTCATACATCATCTGTGTTTTAATGTTTTTCAATGAAATTCTTTGCAATGGAATTAATTTTTAGGAAACATGAAGAGAATGCATTTCATTCTTATTAGTTTGTAGTCCTTTCCAAGTGTGATATCATTTGACTATGTTGTTTAATTACACTTTATTAGAGCTGCTACTACTGCATTTCTTTTTTAATACTTTAATACAGGCAGACATTAAGAACCAACTCACATGTCCTTACCCTTTTATTTTCAGTAAAACTTATTATCTCCTGGGATGAAATATCAAAACTTGAGAAAACTTCCAATGTGATTCTGACAGAGAGCATTCATGTGTGCTCTCATGGGGAAGATCATTATTTTTCCATGTTTTTGCACATTAGTGAAACATTCCTTCTCATGGAGCAGCTGGCAAACTATGCAGTTAGAAGGCTTTTTGACAAGGAGACATTTGAGAATGATCCAGTCCTTCACGACCCTCTGCAGATCACCAAGAGGTAATGCATTGCTTATAGTTTATCTGTTCTGGGTCCAGTTTTTGTTTAGGCAAAAGAGGAAGACAATCCTTGTCTCACTGAGATTGTAAATATTGGCAAAGCTGATATTTTCTTAACCAAGTGTATCATTAAAATGTTGGACCAAAGCTATGTGAGGCATTGTAATTTGTTACTTGTAAGGATCCAAAGTCTGTATGAAGGCAGGAGGTGATCAAATCTTCAGTGCTGGTTTTCCAACTAAAAGGTTTATATTAGTGTGAATTTTGAAAAGGTGTTCTTGCAGCATTTAGGATTAGAAAATTCAGATTAGAGCTACGGTGTCTCCAGAGATAGCTGATGAGGAAGGGTAAGGTGGGGAAGAAACCATTTAATAGATGGCTTTCCTGAGGTACAGCATTATTTTGGGTGGTGGGAAAGACATGAATACTAGTGACTTAATGGTTAAGGTCCTTCCTTTTCCTTTGATTCCTCAGTTTGGTAGCAATGCTGGAAAGGGATGCTGCTCTACAACTAAAATACTGTATCTGGCTGCAGTTATCTGTGAAAAATTAGCCCCTGGCAGATGTTTACAACATGTGCTACATTTTTAGCTAATTAACCCTCTGTCAAGTCAAAACTTGTTCTAGTTTTAAATGGATTATTCTGGTGTGTGGGGAGACAGAGCACATAATGCTATTAGTATCTTTTCTGCACTACCTGTAGGCTCTGTCGTGCTCTACTGTGTAAGAACATTATTGAATCTGGTCTTGTTTAGTGGCATATTAAATATTTTGTTAAGTGGATGTACAGGTAGGTGTGGTCCTACCCTTTGTTGCCTCTTCAAGAAAAACATTGAACCCTCCAAACTGACGCCACAGATTATGGGAGAGAAGAGCAAGATATTTGACTGTCTTTTCCCAAGATATTTTTGACTTTTGTATTTACAAAGATATTTAAAACTTAATTTTTCTTTTCTCTTTCTTACCAATGTGTTATGTTTTTATTCCAGAGGCCTGGAGAGCCATGCCCACAGTAAGCATTTTAGTGCATTCTTCAGGCTACCTAAAGAAGAGTCCTTGAAGGAAGTTCATGAGTGCTTCTTATGGGTTCCTTTCAGTCATTATAACACCCATGGGAAAATGTGCATTTCAGAAAACTACATCTGCTTTGCTAGCCAGGATGGCAGCCTGTGCAGTGTAATCATTCCCTTGAGAGAGGTAATGCAAACTACAAATCAGACTCACTTATACCAGCAGTTTTGCCCTTGTGTATTTTAATGCCAGTTTACCAGATTTTCATTAGAATATCCTTATTTTATGTGATGTCAGGTATTTTCCCCTACCCTGGATACTACATGTAGGAATTCTGTTTGTAGATTTCTGGAACTGCTTTCATGTTTCAGACTTGTTTATTCTGTCTTCTTTCCATTTTCTATTTACTTTCATTTCTGTAGCTTGGTACAGAATCCAAATTTTTAATACTTTTTTTTATTAAAGGAAAAAGCTTTTTCTTAGTACTTGTAGTTGAGTTAATGAGACATTCTCAAGGTAAGAAGTAAAGAATTGTAGTGGGTAGAAGACTTTGAAGATCAGTAATCATGCTGCTGTATTTCTTTTCTCAGTAGTGCAGTTTTTTGCAGCAGCTGAGCAGTGCTGTCTGCTCAAAAGTCTAGGAAAATCCAGTTGTTGAGCACATAGCAATGCCATTACAGTTGATAATCTCAACAGACTATAAGGACAGAATAAAGACCATATAGCAAAGGGCACAGCTTTGGAATTTCAATAGAGTACTATAGTATACTGCAGAATAACTTCTGGGAAAAAAAAGAAAAACAACCAACCCTCTTCATTTCTGTCTTGACTTCATGTGATCTGGGTCATTGCCACATTTCAGTTGTCCAGTGGTAAAAGCTTTTCATCAGCACCAGACACATTTTACAATAGCCTACAAATAAGCCAGGTTCTGTAATTGCTTTACATGCTCTGTGTACACACTAACATAAGACACCTGACATAGGGGGTGAGCTGTTCTAATCTCTATGTAGGTGGTGTTCCCCACCTACATAAACCAATTTATTTGATTACCTCTAAATAGTGCTGCAAACAATAGAGCCTTCCATAACATAAGAGGCTGTGTTAAAGGAGCTGGCTCTAAATTTATTCTTGTGGACTGTCAGACCCTCACTCTTTGTTCTGTAGGACTGCAGTTACCTCATTTCAGTGGTCTTTCCTTCTTTACCTATAACAATGTGCTCAGTGGTTTTCCATTCTTTAACCTTTAACAACACGAATACAACAGCAATACCAGCCAGTCTAGATTCTCATGATTGTCACACTTGAACTTGCATGATTAAACTGTTTTAACTGCTCTAGTCTGTAACTGTTCCATCATGGCAATTAAAGTCAGCTCTGTCTGTCATGTGTTATGACAGCTGTTTTGACAGGGTATTCTCAGTGGAAATTCAGTCTTGCAAAACTTGTTTCATTTGATTACTTACAAAAGTCATGTTTTCTCTGCTTTTGGATGGTAAGAAAAAAAGCAACTGCTTCAGTGGGTAGAAGGAGACACGGTTTTCAAATAAGCTGAGCACTCATAGCTGAGAAAACCTTTTTGAAGATTTCTGGTACTCTGTTAAAAATCTGTTACATAATACTTAGTGCCTTTTGCTAAAATAGCTACAGGCAGTTGAGCTTTCAACTTGTGACTTTGTGTTACCTTGTCTGCTTGTGTGCTTCATACCCTGGTTCATTTACATATGTATTCTTAACAGGTTTTCTTTTTTATAAGTAAGCAGGTAAAATTCCTTGCTTAATTTATGTGTCCTTGGTTCCATAGGTCACGGGGGTGGATACAGCAGATCCAGCCACCAGAGGAGTCAGCATTAGTACCAAAGGGAAAACAGCTTTTCGTTTCACAGAGGTGAAAGATTTTGGATTGCTTGTGGCAAAGCTCAGAATGAAATGCAATGCAACTGCAAGTCCACAGCACATCAGAAGTACTGAGGTACCTGCTCTGGCAATTCTAATTTCTTAGAATTTGTTCATAGGAATAAGTCATGAACCTCTGGTTTTAAAATTTAGAAAAATAAATAACTCAGCCCATGTGAAAGAGAATGAGTTGGACAATGGTGCTACTGTGAATGCATTCCTGTTTGGGTTCCTTTACCTGGTTTTTCATCAGGTTTTGAAAAACAACTCCAGCTGTAATGCTGGATTTTAAGTGCTCTCAGGTTTTCTATACAGTTCACTGTATGAATGGGTTTTTTTTGGTGGTGATGGATAGTAAGACCTCCTTATCCTCGTATTCTCAGTTTTCATTATGAACATTTGTCCTTTCATAATTTAATTTTTTTGCTTGAGAGGTGGCTTTTTTCCTCCCAGGTGCAACCTCCTGAAAGCCCTGTACAGAGCAGGGACTGCTGTTTATCATTTATTTTAGAAGTCTGTATCTGGCACCTGTAACTTAATATAATGAGCAATAATGGTCGGGTATCAGTGCTGCTTCTTTGAGGATTGTTTGTTATTTACAAGTACCACTGTTCAATTTTTTTCAAGGTTGCAGCTGGTTCTGCTGCTGACAGTCCAAAGGATTTTGGTGCAGGACAGTCAAAGATGGGCCAGAGAGATAACAGCAAAACTGTCAGTACAGAAGCACTTATGACTGTCTACCATCCTCAGGATGCTGAGAACCTTGACTCTAAAATGGTAAGGGATAAAATGGCCAACAGTTTTTGGAACTGAATTGGAAAGGAGTGAAGTATATCAAAATGAATTCCAGCCAGGCTGCTGATTTCCTTGGGGGCTTTGCCGATCTTCTTTCATCTGCATTCTCTGTGTTTGGAATCCACAGGGTGCTTCTTCATAGCTCCATTCAATTTTCTGCTCATCTTGTTTAATAATGGTATGTCTTATCTTCATGGAGTTAGTTTTTCCTGCTCTTCTACCCCTCAGGGAAGAGTTGGCTGTTTGTTTTATGATAGTGAACATGTTGCATTTCTATCTGAATTTTAAAGATACAAAGTCACTACAAAGTCTCTGGGAGCAGGGAGAATGTTCTAAGAAATTGATTTAACTTCCTCCCTGTTTCCTTCTTCTGCAGAACTGTCTAACAAAGGCTCTGAAGAATATTTATATAGTTGTTTTTGCAGCAGATCATCCAATTTTTGCTTTTCTATAATATGTGAAAGAAGACAGGTTTTATTTCAAAGTAACTCTTTCAGCAGAACTGAGTAAATTAAGATATGAAATGTTTTATATTAGAAATACTAGAAAACAAATACCCTTTGGACAGGACAAAAGGGAGTCCAGATTTTTAAATCCTGCTTTTTATAGTATGTTGAACAGAAGTGATTTTCTTTTCAGTACCTTTAATTGCTTTAGCAATGTTAAATCTTAGTGCTGTATGCACAGAAATTGTAGAAGTGACATTCACCCTGTCTCAGCCCTGGAGCCTCACATGAGCTGGAGCACCCCATCAACAATTGCTTTGCTTCAGAGAAATGTCTGTTTGACCTTCCTGTGCTGTGGCAGTTTTTGGTTTCTGTCAGATGGGATACTGGATTAGATCTACCTTCTGTCTCATCTTGTATAAACATACTTTAAAGAACAGTAGGTCATGTATGAGATGGCATTTAATGCTAAATTTGTGCTCTGCATAGGCTGGATTTTGCTCTGATTTGCTTCAGCATTCATTTCACACATCAATATGGATGCCAACGCTGCAGTTTCCAGTTTATATGAATACAACTGGGAGCAAAATTTATTTTTGTTCTCTGAAACCTGAGGAGAATCTACCAGTATGCTTAATGCTTGTTATCTTCTGCTTTTGGTAGTTGAAAGAAAAAATGAAGGAGCAGTTGTGGAACATCCTGTTTGCAGAACGGGGCCATGGGGTCAGTATGTTTCGAACAAAGAAGACTCGAGACCTAGTTGTAAGGGGCATCCCAGAGGCATTAAGAGGAGAACTCTGGCTGCTCTTCTCAGGTATTGCATAACAAGCATAATTAGTTCATTTTGGGAGTCATCATTGGCAATTTTCATTGCTGAGTGTTTCCATTAACTTCAGTAAAATGACCCTGACACATTACTTCAGTAATATCTGGAAATTCATGAGGTACCTCAGTAGTCACCAGAATTTTTATACAAATTGCAAACAATCAAATTACTGCTTCACTGTTGTCCTCTAATACCGTGCAATGCAATGTATTGGCAGGTGCTGTAAATGATATGGCATCCAACCCTGGTTATTACACTGAGTTGGTGGAAAAGTCCTTAGGAACGTGCACTTTGGCTACTGATGAAATTGAGCGAGATTTACGTCGCTCCTTACCTGAGCATCCTGCTTTTCAAAGTGACACGGGAATTTCTGCCCTCAGGAGAGTTCTTACAGCTTATGCATTCAGGAATCCACAAATTGGATATTGTCAGGTATACCAGTTTTGAGAATCTTAGAGTCAGTTGTTGAAATATTAGCTCATGATGGTAGCACCTCATAAAATCTGTCACAGAAATGTGGAATAGTTTCTTGCTTAGTGGTTCACTTACTTTCATGCCATTGTGTAAAGTAAGTTTTTATGTTTTACTTGGATTAGTTTATAAATGTCTGTCATGTCCATGTCATATATGAATTTGCATTCTAACAAGACATATGGCACTTGAAAATATTTTTATGTACTTTAGATGCTCTGTTCTGTATTTAATAACATAGAAGTAAAACTCTTGTCCCAGATATGGCTGTAGGTTATCCCAGTGCTTTAAAAATGTGCTGTAAAGTGCTTTCAGGAATACAAATTCTAAGAAATAATACCAGTTGTGTTTTCATCATCTTTTCTCTTAAATGTTTCCTTTCCTGTTTGAATGTTGCAGGCAATGAATATTCTGACATCAGTGCTTCTGCTGTATGCTAAAGAGGAGGAAGCATTCTGGCTTTTGGTTGCTGTGTGTGAAAGGATGCTCCCCGATTATTTCAATCGCCGAATCATTGGTAACATCCATCTGCTTTTTTATCTATTTTGAATTCAGTGTCTACCTATATTGAATGTCAATGGTTATTCATTAAGAATAAATATAAGGAATGAGCTGAAGATTGACCAGTGGAGAAAAACCATTCCATTTATTTTGGTATTGTGGAGTAGAAAATGGAGACCATCCCATGATGCTCCTTAAAATAGGCATGGATGTGATTTCCAGATATTGTCAGTATTCTAGGCATAACTATTCAGGGAATAGTCAGACTATTATACTGTTCCTTTGGAATTATAACTGCAGTTCATACTATTTATTTGAAACTTAGCCAGTTTAGATAAATGAAAAGGAGTTACTGCAGGCCCGGACTTGTACTTTGATCTCATATGCAGTTCTTACAGGCGTATATGTTAGAAGAAAATGGGGTGTGAAGTTTCTCTTGTTGCAGAGGGAGGGTACTGGCTGCCGGGAGAATCACTGGAAGCAGTCATGGACTCACCAAAGTGCCAGCACACTTCAAGCATGCCCCAGGCATGGAGAGCACTGCTTCCAGCATGGGGGAAGGAGCCAATGGTTCCATGCAGCTGGGCCTGTGTGTGCTTGTACAACAAAGCTGCACTAGGACAGGAACTTTGTTTCTGGCTAGTGCTCTCAGAAGTGTACTTCTCTGTGTTAAGATTTGGGTGGTGGTTTTGTTATCCTTTCCCCGCAGGTGCCTTGGTAGATCAGGCAGTGTTTGAGGAGCTCATCAGGGTTCACCTGCCTCAGTTGACAGACCACATGATGGACATGACTTTTTTCTCCTCGGTCTCTCTCTCCTGGTTCCTTACCCTTTTTATCAGTGTGCTGCCAATTGAAAGTGCAGTCAATGTGGTGGACTGTTTCTTCTATGATGGAATAAAGGCAATCTTGCAGCTGGGCCTTGCAGTGCTGGAATACAACATGGACAAGTTGCTCACTTGTAAGGATGATGCAGAAGCAGTCACTGTTCTCAACAGGTATTAGTGTAACTGTTACTCTTTCAGGCTACATAACAGCTGGTATTATTGCATGTACATGAGTCATTCTGAGGTAGCTGAGAAGACATAAGCCAAGACTTCCAAAGGCTTCATAGGAATTAGAGCTCATATCGGGCTGAAATTTTGGAAAGTGGGTCTGGATCCTCTGAACATCCCATCCTGTATTCAAGTTCTACTAAAACCATGAATATTTTCTGAATTTTAAAGAAAAAGCAATGTGCTTTTAACCTTGAATTTGTATCATGTATAGAAGGCAGATTGCCTTGATGAGACTATCTCAAGCACATTATGACTGTTCCAGACATCAGGTCAGGCATCAACTTACAGCAGCAAGTTCTTCAGCTTAGTTCTTGTAGTTTAGGCTGCTGAATCCTCTGCTGTTAATGGTTTAAAACAGAAAGAAGACCAAAAAAACGTGATGAGCTCATCAGTCATGATGAGATACTAGCTATGTTAGCAATGTGAAGAGTGCTTTAAAGTGACATACTGCAAACAAAACTTGTAGTTTTTTCTTCACTCCTTAAATTATCTTGTTGATGCTGTGGTTGTGTATCATGGATTATTAGAACAGCAAAATTACTCTGCTATAGCAGTTAACCAGTTATGAATGTTAAGAGCTGATAATAAGAATTTCTGTTTAGTGAGGCTTTTACATGTTGCATGTTTGAATGGGGTAGGAGAATTATTGAAGAAAATGTACTTTTTGTTATGAGACCATGCAGTCTGGTGTTTATTGTAAAATCTGGCTTCCCCACTGAATCTATTGAGGCTGGTTATGTGGGTGAGATAAGCAGGTACAGATAAGGCATGTCTTTGTCTTATACATCTGGAGGAATTAAGATTGTCTTGTTCACAGTTCAGAACAAGCCTTTTTCTCTGTCCCAGTTAGTACAACCTTGCTATATGGGTTAGAAAACCAGAGGAATGCCAACTGGGACGGGACCTTGGAAGGAGTCTAGTTTAACTTCCTGCTCAAAAGGGGATTGCTGCTAGCACTAGATCACATAAACTCCTTTCTAAAAACTCCCAAGGCTGGAAGTTCTACAACCTTCTCTGGGTGGGCAGTTCCAATGTTTGTGTATCTTTGTTACTATTATAGCACATTTGTGCTACTGACTCTGATAGTCTTTGTTTTTTCCCATTCTCTGCACACTTTTTCTTCAATAGATGCCAATGTTACTGTTTTATTGTGATAAACTGGTTCCTGCTGATTTCTCATGTGTTTGCTTTGTGCAGATTTTTTGACAGTGTCACTAACAAAGACAGTCCTTTACCTCCAGCTGTGCAGCAGGGCTCCAACCTCAGTGATACAAAGAGTGACCATCCAAAAGTGGACATCACTGATCTGATCCGAGAGTCAAATGAAGTATGTGTTCCTGTGGGCATGTTTTTGCATCCCATGCAGTGTTAATGTTTCATGGGCTACTTTGAAACAGTACAGTTGCACTGTACAAACTAGGGTAGAAAATCTGTCTGGATTGGTAGAAATTTGTCTCTGTACTTTGGATCTTGTCGAGCGTCACTGAAAACCTTATAGGTTATGGGATAGGTTTGCTTTTCTGTTGTTTTGGGTTTTTAACTGCTGGGGAGGTGCTTTCTAGTCTGTCCTGAGCGGAGTTCACGAGATTCATCACAGGTCATGTATTGCCATCCCTCATTAATATTATTAATATGTTAACTAAATGACAAAATACACCAGAAACAGCCTTTGTGTTATACTAATTTGAGACTGATTACTGCACATTGCAGATACTGGTAACTTTTGACATAACAATGCATATGGGAAGCTGGGTACTTGAGTAGGGGGGAAAAGCTTGTGGAAGTCCTGCCTAATTTGGTTGTTTATCACTCATTTGTTCTCAAAGCTTGTTATTAGAAGCAGTTTTGCCCATGGTGCATGGTGATCATGGTTAGGCCATGTCTTCCTGATTGCCTGTGCTGCTGAAAGGTGCCAAAAAACTTACAGAAGAGAAGTTGAATTTACTGAATTTCCTCATAAAAGGAAATTTAATTGATTTGACATGGTCGATAAAGAATGTTGTCCTGTTTTGATCAACTAGTTTCTGTTTAGATTTTAATTGTTTAATAATTTGTTCCATGATTTCTCTGGTGATTTGTTTCTAGTTCTTGTCTCCTATCCCACTTTTCCTTTAAGATAAATGCATTTATTCACTCCAGTGCTCAGACACCTTTCATGTCCTTCAGAACTTACAGAGGTAGCCAGAAATGATTGAGAAATTACTTAGTAGATTCCTTGATTTCACTAGAGTGAACTTCAATCCCTGAAAACATGCACATCTTAGACTTTGCTGCCTTGCAGTAGTAGTCACCATGTGATAACAGAGTTGGGTATAGAGCCAACACACAACCCCTTCCTTTTTCTTCCCACACAGGGAACTACTCCAATTTCTTCTTTCTCCATCGCTCTCTGGAACACTTTTAAACACCCTTTTAAAAGTTACACTGCTTAAGGAGAATGTTAGTGCTCTAATAAATTATTTTTCCCTCAGAGTTTCTGTGATCTTCCTTTGTGTGCATTTGTGTCCCTATTGTGCTTAGATGCAAGAGAGACTTGTTTAGATGTGTCTCCCAACAGTTTGATTGCATGGAGTGGTGCTTTTCTCCTTAGAGATACGGTGATATTCGCTACGAGGACGTTGAGAGCTTGCGCTGTAGGAACAGGCTGTATGTGATCCAGACCTTGGAAACTACGACCAAGCAGAATGTGGTGAGTGACTTGGAAGAGTTTCAGCCTTCTCCCTGATAAAATTCATTCCCTTTTGGAAGGTTCTGAGAAGAGCTGCAGTTTCCAGGACAAATATATGGTTTTATACTGCATCCCCTCATGTCTGCAGGGTGTCTGTTAACTGAGGCTGTAAATCACAGCATGACCTTCTGGTCTCGTTACAAGTAGCACCATTGCCAACCACTTCAAAAGGCTGGCACATCTCACACTTTGTGTGGATTGGAACAGGCTGACCTATATTTCTATCTGCTGATGTGAATACTGTTCTCTTAGAGGCATAGAACACCATACAGCAAAAAAAGAATTACACACCTGCATTTTTACTCTGGGAAGCAGCACTGAAGAGGTTATTGTAGTGCATTCAACAGGGGTTGCTTTTTGTCTGTGTTGTGTGTGAGTATCTGGTAATGTGGCAGCTCTCCATCTACCTATCTCATCCTTTCAATTCAGACTGCTCAATGAAGGTGGAGGTTGTGAGGAGGTTCCTTTGTTTGCCTGTTTTCTTCAGTGGCTCATTTCCAATACCTGATGATAATACTAGTCTTGTCCACCACCTAGTGCTCCTCTCTGTAGTAAATATGGCTTGTAGCAACAGAAACTAAATGCTGGTGGTTATGCCAAGATCGTATTGTTGTATTTAATTTTACTAAACTTATATATTGTTGTGTTGTGAAGTTGGAAGCTGGTCTTACAGCAAACTTTGTTTTTTAAAAGCTGTGAACAATTTTTTTAATTTAAAAAAATGAGGATTCAGCTTCACTGTTGTGAGCTGAACATATATTTGCCCATTAAAAGGAAGCTGTATGTTATGTTGTTATAAATAATTGAGTTTTATCTCCTGGGTTTCATAGTGTAGGCTCCATGTATGTTATTAATGTGACTTGCCTTAAGCTTTTTTTTTTTTTTTTTTTTTTTTGAGAAATTATGATTTTAATCTATAATCTTCTGATTGCTTTTTAAAATAAAGTGCTATTCTTACTTCTAATTGTAACATGCCAAAACCTGGAATATTCAAACAGTATCTCTTAATGTAATGTTAAGTCTCCCATAATGTTATTCCAAGGAGGTAAGACACATTAATTTTTTCTTGACTTTGTTTCAGCTACGTGTTGTGTCTCAAGAAGTAAAATTCAGTCCTAGTGATCTTGAAGAGCTTTATGAATTATTCAAGGTAATGTGCCATTTTCCTACTTACCAAATGGCTATCTTAACAGTAGCCTTTGAAATGATTTTAGTAAATAGAGATAAAGGGTGGACTCAATATATGTTTTACATGCCAGCTGCACTATTGATTATATAGTTAACTCCTCACATCCTTCCCCCAGAGAGACTTCTTGTTTCCTGAAACCTAATGTTTTGTCTTTGCTTTGCAGAAGGAGCATTTTCTTTCCTGTTACTGGAGTGTAAATAGTCCTGTCCTGCAACATCACGATGCCAGCCTGCCCTACCTTGAGCAGTACCGGATTGATTGCCAACAGTTCAGGGTTCTCTGCCATCTCCTGAGCCCCTGGTCACACTGTGCAAACAGAGACTCTCTGGCTCTGTGGACATTCCGACTGATGGATGAGAGTTCCAACTGCCTTATAAATTTCAAACAATTTGCCTGTGTTCTTGGTATGGCAACAAAACACACATGAGCACATTCACGAGGCTCCTGGGAGGAGTAGTCCTGGGGTGCATCACCTTCCAGACTCTATACAAAAAGCTAAGGAGATTTAGTCTCTTAACACAGGGTCAAGTAATGTGATTTTTATTACAGACAGAATAATTTCCTCTTGGAGATTAAATTTAAATATGGCTTGGTCACCAAAATATCCACAAATGAAGAATGGTCTGATCTCATTGCCCGGCCTGTTTGGTTTATGATAAATCTTCATCCTAAGTCATCTTTTACACAGGTCATGCAGGATGACCAATGCCTTATTCCATTGGGAAACTGAAAGTTTTCTTGGCTCACTGCTCTGTTCCTTTAGTCTTGTTTTCAAAGTGGTATGTTCAGGAAACAAAAATTTAAGGGAAATATTGAGACATTACTGCTATATTTCTTCTGGTGCTGTGGTTTTATTTTAGTAAGTCATGGACATTAGTAGTGTTCTTTCATAAGTGTAGGCTAACCCCAGGCTCAGCCACAGGTGATAGTGCTTTCTTTAAGCTTCATATCTAATTATATTCCCTGTAAGGTCAGGCATGTGTCCAGTTCCAACCTCCCTGGGTTGTACTCGTTTAAGTTAAGAGGGTGTTCTAAAGTTTGGTCCAGTTGAATAGACTGTCCTTTGTCCTTTCCCCTAACAGATACAATGTATAATGGAAGCTTCACTGACAAACTCAAGTTTCTTTTCAAGTTGCACATCCCTCCAGGTAAGTGAGAAACAGTGGCATTTGGGGAGAGCTGTCTTTGGTTTTTGTCATCGCTATCACTGCTTTGGTAATGCTTGGGCACCATGAACCCACTTTATTTAATAATTTATTGCAGCTTTTACTGAAGTAGAATCTCTGAGCCCTTCCAAAGGGGATGATCTTTCAAAAGAAGAACTGATCCACTTCAGCCAACTCAGTGGTAAGCTCCAGAGTATGAGGGTTTGCCTGCAGAATACTAGAAGGAATCTATTAATTATCCTGTGAAAAATGAGGAGCTTTCTTCTGAAAACTAGTAAATCCAGTAAATCATATCCCTGTTAACAGAATGCCTTGTGAAGATCTTCTGTAGATAGTTACAATTTAATGAACTTGTGCAGAATTTGTGGCTAGCTCAAGTGATGGTTGAATTCAAAGGCCTGTGGGTGTTTACATGGAAATACAGGAGTGTGTTTGGTTGGCATTGTGGGCAGCCTGTTGCAGTGATGTTGAAGTGATGGCTGTTTCATTTCTGCATCCTGGGCATAAAGGAATGGTATTTTCTGCCTCAAGAATTAAAATACCAAATCCATACTTTGAGGCGCATAAGCGTTTCAAAATTCTTTGCTTTCATTTTAGACCAAGTGAGCTGAAAAATGTTTAGTAAATTTATGGAGTTGATAAAATAATCTGTTTCAAATACTCTGGAAACCTGTAGGATTTTTATAGGAAAGATAGATCCCTTTTTGGTTTTGAAAATCTGCCCAAAGTAGACAATATATAGGTACTGTTCCTGCTGGTCTTCAAGTTGTGAACTGTGGACATTATAAAGATTATTTAACTGATAGCAGTTTTATTGGTAATCTGCCTCACAAGGGCTTATATTTTTATAGAAAGCATACAGATTTTACCATGTGGTTTCTTCTTGACCTAATCTGTGATGAGAACATTGAGTGTCTTGTGCCTTAAGGAAGGAATTTTTGATAAGGGAAATGAAATATTGATCCTCTTTTCTGAAATAAGTAACTTTTTTTTTTCCCTGAATTGTAGTTTCATCTGTTGGGGATAATCTTGAAAGTGATTATTTGAAGAGCAGCCCAGAAAAAGGTAAAACAATCCTGGTGGCACATTTGGTAACTGTCTTTTGGGGGAGTAGAGCTGGGAAAGTGTGTGGTGACAGAGTATATTAAGTAACATCAACCTTAGTGTGCTGTTAACATTCTGTCCTCTTATGTAAGTGTAGTCATGGCAGCAAAAGGGTAAAAGTAAACTCTTGTCCTGTGTAAGTCCTTGGCCCCACCACTCTTGAGAAGGAATGGCATTGAAGATGCCAGTTCTTTTGATTATCATCCCTCACGGGAAGGTCTCAGTTCTTGTTTGCTCACTTATTTTTTTTTCCCCACTTCTTCCCCTTCAAAAAGGGAAGGGGAAGGTTGATATTCAGGCATATCTGAAGCAATGGCAAGATGAACTTTTTAAAAAAGAAGAAAATGTCAAGGATTTGCCAAGAATGAATCAGGTAAACTGTCTGAGTCTTATTTAAGTCTATTTTGTCATGAAAGTTTACCCTTTTAAGTCTATTACAATATTTCTGAAGGATTTGTAGAATCCCTTTAACTTCAAATCTTCACGTCAATCATGAGACTGTGGCTTTTTAAAACTGCTGTAATGTATCAAGAGAGGGCCTTTGAGACACAAGAAGGTTTCTCAGGGCTAGTCCCTGCTGTCATTAGAGCAGCGGCACCAGGTGCCAGGCAGCAGCAGGCACTGCACTCAGAATACACCAGGTGCTGAAACAGAACAGTTGTGTTGCTCTTCTCTGAGCAGTCTCCTCTGTATCTCTCTGTAGTCTCAGTTCATCCAGTTCTCAAAAACTCTCTACAATCTGTTCCATGGGGATCCTGAGGAGGAGCTCTTGTACCGCGCTATTGCCGTGGTGACCAGCCTCCTGCTGAAGATGGAAGAAGTGGGCAGAAGGCTGCAGAGTCCTATGTCACCTGTCAAAAGTCCAGTTGCTGTTACAGAAGTGGCTGCTGAAGTGCCCAGAGAGAGGCAGGAGGAAAGCAGCTCTGAACAGACTGAAGGCAGTCGAGCACAGAGTTTAAAAGGCAACCATGAATGGTCTTTTGCCTTTGAGCAGATTCTGGCATCCTTATTAAATGAACCAGCCTTTGTGAGATTTTTTGAAAAACCTCATGACATAAAAGCTAAAATAGAGAGTGCTAAAAATTTACAACTTAAAGCAAGAACCAGAGTGTAATTTTCTTTGCATTCGACTCTGAATTAATCCCATAAAGTGCTTACAAATGAAGGCTGTAACTATGGAAATCAAGTCTGGTGTTGACATAGGAAATGAAGTTTGAAGAATTAGCTTCAAGTATCAGATTACTGGTATGTAATGTAAATAAAAATAGTTTGAAGCACAGTCACTTTCTTGCATTGTTCATAACTTTCAATCCAAATTAGGGACTGAATAATGAACTGCCTTTACCATGTTATTAAAACATGCAGCATTGCTTGGAGATACTGGTTGTGTACCTGTTGCAAACCTGTCTGAATCACTGTTAGAGTAGGTGTTCTCCAGGTTCTTTTCTATTACTATGATAAAAGGAGTGACTTTTTCCCATTTTCACTTTCAAGGAGTGTCAACAGCTTGGTGGTTGTCTTCCACATTAATTTGTTATTTCCAAATTGCTTGTGGACTGGGGCCAAAGCAGGGTGAAGACTAAGAACAGAGGCTGTGGTAGCACAGGACCATGAGATTAGAAAAGGAAGTTGCCCTGCTCACAATTCCTCTGCTTTGATGTTACCCATGGGTCTGGACTGGGTAGATTCCAGTCTCTCCCATTTTTGTACCAATCCTCCTACAAAGAAAAGGTGAAAAGGTTGGAAGATTATTTGGTCATCCAGGCTGCACAAGGCTGCAAAAATTAGTACTGATTGTTTAAAATCAAAGGAAAGCAGTGGCTAAATCTGTCTGACCACAGGGTGGTTGTAGTTTATCTGGCAAAAGGAAACATTGTTGGCTTCTTAGGAGCATGTTGATGAAATGTGGAGTTTTGCTGGTGTTTGGGAAACCCAAGCACAGTCCATCTGCCACTGAGCGTTGACTATTGAACTGCTTAGGGACAGATTGCAGTTGCTTCTTTGCCTAGGCTGAGTCCATATCTCAGCCCAGTAATTACTATTGCTTTTCTATAGCTGCTGTAATATTTTCCATCTGTCAGGATTCAAGGCAACAAGAAAATCCCCTTGAATCTGACATGAAATTTTTAATATATAAAATATGATATAATAGAGATCCTGTGGAGGAAAGCTCTGCCCATGTAAAAGCTGAGAAATGTTGACGTTTAATTTTTGGTAGCTGGTGCTAGAAGGAATTTAGAAAAGGAGAGTAAGAGCTTGTATTTTAACAACAACAGCAAAGTAAGTGGGGAGTCTTGCTAAACTAGTTTAAAACATCTGTTTCCCAAGCCTGTATGACAATCTTTCGCTGCAGAGCAGCATTATTTTTATACTGTGCATGTTTTTTTAAAGAGGCAGAATGGGGACGGTATCTTTCGGAGGCTTTTTGTGCAATACTGGTGTGAATGAAGAATAAAACAAATTTCTGATGTCTTACAGGCACTTTGTGAAATGCCATCATTGCAGTTGGTGTTAAATTTATGAATTATGTCTTACACTCTCCTCAATACTCTCAGGTATTAATGTAAAATAAAGTTTTACTGAAGAAGTCCAAAAGCTATATGATAAATGTGGAGAATGAGGAACTTTTTTCAGAAGCCTTCACAAAGTAATTGCAGTTGATACCATATACTGCTGATTTGTATTTTTATGTATAAAATATAAAAACTAATTTATCCATTTATGTGGATATGGATAGGGCCACACTGTATTACCTTTTAAAAATACTTTCACAAAGTTGTTTAGAAATACAAAGCAGATTATAATGTTTTTCTAGTCCAGGATGTACCCAGATAAGGTTTGATCAGTGAGTAATTCTCCTAATAGCCATGATGAAATTAATGGAGCCTCATGAGAACAGATAAAGCTGCCCATAACAAAAGCTTTTGTAGGTTTATGAGAGATACTGTTCATGTCAACAAGTAGTCAAAGCTGTGAAGTATTTGCTGATCAAAGTAACAGAGATATGAAGTCTTAAAACTCAAGGACTTTTTTGCTTGAGAGCCCAGATGTGAAGATCTAAGTGCAGAAGAAGGTGAAGGAACTTGCAAAGTACAACAGCCTTCTGTTGTTACCTGGTTGTAAAAAAGTGCTCAGTCTGTACAATACCCTTTTCTGTTAGTGCCCACCCAAGAGACTGCAGAGCCTTTGCCAGCTGGGTAATAACTCTTGTCAGATCCATGTATGAAGAGCGTATCTATCAAAATAGAATTAAGGCAATGACGTAGGGGGGAACACTAAATTTTATTAACTGCATGGATTTTTTGTTCAACTTACTGGTGTTTTTTCCCAAAAGGGGTGGTGTCTTGTTCCTGTCATACACCTGCAGGCTGATCCAGGAAGAGTAGTCACAGTGACCAGGCATCCAGTCTCAGCAGGATGGAGGGTGGAGTGAGGTCACTTCCAATAGGCTGACAGCACGTAGGCAATGGCCCAGCTGCCATGTTTTTCCTTTTGGAACCTCTGGATCAGGGGCTGATGTCTGGGGAGGGGTAGATGTAGCAAGTGCCAGTGATTGCCAAGGAGTGTAATCCAGAGGTGTGTTTGCTGAGCTAGTACCTCAGTGTACCATAAGCTGAGCTCTGCTTGTGACAGAGGAACTCTGGAATTAGTGTATAGCTTCTTTCCTTCCCTTTCCTATTCCAGATCCTTCCATCCCTATTCCAGACAGGTTGGCTAACAAATAGATGCAGGTTTAGCTGGGACTGGCAGAGCTAGAGCAACAGCAGCTAGTTCCCTTCCTTCACTCCTGGAGAGTGATGCCTTGACCTCAAAGCCCTGCACAGTCAGGGATGGAGATCTCTGTGCTGTGCTGCTTCTTGGCCAGGTGAAGTTGGTGATACAGAGATGGCTCCAGACTCCCAGCACATCACCTCAGGGTGCTGGGTGTGCACATGAAGAGGAAGCAGCTCGGTTAAGTGAATTCTATCGTGTCATTTCACTCACCTGGTGTTAGTTTTTTTCTGTGTGTTTCCATGAAGTTTTCTGCCTTTATTTTCAGGTTCAGTCATAGGAAATAAGTGAAGGTGCACTGTTCAGTACAAAGCAGACAGCTGTAGATTGCTACAACTACTGATGCTGTTTGTGGCTGCTGCAGTGTGACTTGGCAGCTGTGTCACGGTCACCCTGCAACACTGGCAGTGCCCGTGGGGGACTGCACAGTCCCTCCTTGTGATTATGCTGTGTGCTAAGATGCCTTTTGTCAGAGGTAATCAGTAGCCTGGGGACAGCCAGCAGAGCTGTGATGTTCCTGGCCTTGCCATATGGAATGTGCTGTGCTGCAGCCTGATGCTGCTCTCTGTGCTCTGGGTGACAGTGACAGCCCTGACCCCCACAGGGTTGCTTGGCCTCTGTGTGCCCAGCTCAGAGCTTGGGCATGTGAGGGGAGGGAATAGCTCAAATAATAAAAATACCAGCTCTTTCCACCATGGGAGACAACTGATGGTAATTAAACCAGTAGCATTTTCCAAGACATGGAAGTGACTGCTGCCATACGATACAGAAAAATCACTTTCTGTTTCCATCCATTTCTAAACCAAGCCACTTGTTCATCGTTCTAATGGCTAAATAATAATGTAATTTTAGAAGAGGTTGCTACCATAGTGACTAAGAAATAGCTGTGTGTTGATTTTATTAGAAGTTTCTCATCCAATTGTACCATACAAGGTTCTTGATTTTGATTGTTGTTGTTATCTGGACTAAAACAGAAGGAAACACTCTGATTTGTTTCCAGAAAAATAGGCTATTTTGTCTTTTTTGCTATAGCTTTGTCACTTTACCAAGACGGCAGCACATGTTTGTGTTGACAGATTGGCTTTTATACAATGTGTTGTATGCAGAGGTATTGTAAGACAAATGGGGAGTTAAATAAAACGTTGTTTCCCTTAAGAAAAAAAAACTGTGTTTGAGGCACTATTATTTCCTATGATGGCCTGCTGCAGAGGTTGCTTCAAGAGTGTTGGTCATGTTAAAGCCACATTTAGTCAGTGCTTTGCAAAACAAGGAGCAAGCCAAAGCCCCAGCTGGGACAGCAGCCTCCCAGAAGAGCAGGAAAAATGGAGACCTGGATTTTGAACCCTGAGCTGACTTCAGTGCTGAGCTGCTGAGTACTGGCACGTGCTTTGTCCATCCAAATTCACAGTGTGCAGACCCTGATGCCTGGTTCTTTCCAATTTATGTGTTGCTCCTATTGCCTTTGGCACTGGCCATGGAAATCCCAGTCCTTGTCCTGAGCCCCATCCCTTCAGCCGTCCATGCACATGGACACAGTGGCTGTTCTCCTGTCTCTCCTGGAGAGTAGAGATCAGATCCTGATCCCTAACAGACCCTCACCACCCAGGGAGTAACAAGAGTACAGAGTGTGTAAGAGGTCCTACAAGTATTATTTTATTTCTTCTTAATTTTTTTTTAAATACTATGTACAATCTGTTTAAAGCTTGTCAAAATGCATGAGCTCCCATTCAATGGAGCTGTGCAGGGACATAGATTCAAAACAAGAATAAAATCTTTACTGTTCATAAGACACTTACTTTTTCCCATTACAAAATACTTTTAAGAATAGTAACATTTATAAATGTATTTATATTCAACATCATATAAAATAAACCAAGATTTATACTCAATTCTAGAGTTTTTCTTATTTTCTTTTTTTTTCTTGCATGGACTATATACAATATATACAGTAACTTCTCATTGTGTTTGTCAAATCAGCCTGATTATACCCACCAGGCTTTAGCTTATATGTACAAATACGCTAAAAGTGCAAGACTTTATTATTTAAAGCTGCCTGTGTTTTCAGAGGTCTGGAATTGTGTGGCCTATATATATTTATATATAGATATACATCTGCATACATATAAATGTATATTAAAAATACGTATATCTATATATAGCTATGGTATATAGGTACTTGTGTACTAGAAAACCTCAGAACATTTATGACTGAAAGGTCAACACTGACACTGGAGGCCAACCCTGCTGCCATCAGTCAGGTCCCTGCCCTCTGCTTGTCACCAACAAGTCACACTTATGTTTTCTTGTAGGAGGCTGGGGGGGCGTGAACCAAACCCACCAGCAGCCCTCAATTCCAAATGAGTCATAAAAGCACAGGTCATAGCTAACACCGAGGTAAACAAATACAAATCAACCTGAATGAAGAGATTGTTTTATCCATCTATTTTTTTGAGAGTGACAATATAAGGCAAAACCCCTCTGGCCCTGACTCGGCCTTGCCCTTGGCTGGAGGCAGACTGAGCAAAGACCAAGCAAGCCCCAGAAAGGGTCAGTGGGATTTTGTCCTTTGGAGCATGTTGAGAAAACAAGGCTCTGCCTGTGAGGCAGTGCCTGGGAATGTGCAGCCCCCGCCCACCAGCAGCAAGGCCAGTGGCTGGGGGAGCTCTGAGAATAAGGGGGGCACATGATAAAGTGCGTTTTCAGGTCTCTGCTTTTAGCAAGGCTGGTCTAACATGTAAACATCCTCACCAAGCTCCTGTGCTGCTCGCTGGGAGCTGTGAGCAGGGGCTGTGCCCCCAGCCCTCTGTCCCTGCAGCCCAGGGCTGCCATCAGCAGGGCTGTGCCCAGGGCACGGCCCTGTCTGGTGCACCCACTGCCCCCCACCTCCCCCAGAACCCCTTCCCAACCCGATTTTTTTTTTTTTTTTTTTTATTCACTGTCAAAGCCACAGCAATGCCAGAAAACTGCTCTGCCTCAACTATCTCCCTAACAAGCCCTGTTAAAAAATACACCCCTGAAGCCCCTGACTCCAACCACCACCACCTCTGAGATCCATTTGATTGCAGCAGCCATGGCTGGGCTGTGTGGTGGTGGCACACTGCAGACCAGCCCTGGGGATGCGCTGGGGTGATGCAGGTTTAATGGGGAAGCCAGGGAAATCACACTGTTTCCCTCCAGCCAGCCACCCTGAGCCACAAACTGTGCAATGCTGGAGCCCTAACACATATATGTTTGCCTCCTCTCTAATGTTATGTACCAAGGATATGGTGGGAAAAAATCCCACAAACAGCTCCCAAAAATACAACCCCCTCCTACCGCATCCTCATGAGCAACCTGGATGCCTTAGAATGGAGACAGGGAGAGCCTAACACTAACAGTGCTTTAAAACCAAAAGTTTCCTATCCTGAAGGCTCTGTGCTGGCCCTTCCTGCAGAACAAAGCTGCAGAGCAGGAAAGCCCCAGGTGTTATTTCAGTTCCAAATTGCCCCACAGAGGCAGGTGTTCCAAATCCCCCTACCAGCAGCGAGGTGGCCCTGGTCCAGGGCTCTGCTGCAGCCAGTGACTTCTTGTGCTGGCTTGAAATGGAGGGGCTGGCTCAGGCTGTGTCCAAGAGCAGCCAGGGACTGCGCTGACAAGGCACGAGCCCGACAGTGGACCCCAGGCTCTTGGGGACCTCATGGCCTCCGTTCTGTGGCCAGCTACATTCCCCAGCATGCTGCACATGGCCAGCTCTGCAACCCATGATCCATCTATCTGTCCATCGAGTCTGGCTGCCCTGGGAGCTGCGCATTCCATGTCCAGTCAAAGCTGACCCGTGCAGCTGCCTTTGCCCAAGGGAGGGGACCCATGAATAGCCAGGGGTTGGCACAGCTTTTGTTCACAAATCCACCTCTGTCCTGGCCAAAACACCAAAGCACCCTAGGGCCTTGCACCAGTCCCTGAAAGCTCCTGGCTGACCCCAGCTCCAGCAGCCTATCCTCCCACTGCCACTCCCCCAGGCAATGTGGCACAGCAAAACTCCATCCCCTTCCCAGGAGAAAGTGCTGGGAACAGCCCTTGATGCCCCAGGGCTGCAGGAGCCCTGCTGTGCCCTTTTCTTGAAACACAGTGCTACTGGCAGCTACTCGTGCCAAAAGCTGCCCCACCAGTAACATCAGGAACACCAGCTGCTGCAGTGCTGCAAGGGGCCCAGAAAGAGGCTTGCAGAAGGAAAAGAAGAAAAAACAAAACAAAAACCCAACCAAACAAAACCAAACAAAACCAAAAACCCAAACACCATATTAAAAATTAAAAAAAAACCAAAAAAACAAAAAAAGGCAAAACCAAGCATTCTTTACTTGGTTTCAATAGACATTAGGAACTAACTCCTCTAAACCTTGCTCTGTCTGCCAGCTAGAGCTTTACTGCTAGATGGATCTGGTCCTAACTAACCACTGCCTTCACTGCCTTGCAAAGTTTATAGTAATGGCCAAACCCATCTACATTTGGGCTCTAACAATGCCCAAAGATACTACTCAGCTACTAAAACGCTCCAAAAATGTACTTTTAAATTTTTCCTTTGGAAAGACACAAACAGTAGGGACACTTAACTATACACCCACTGAGCAATAAACTTTTTTCAATTCATAAATATAAACTTACAGTTAAAAAGTGACAATTTACAAAAATACAATTTATTGCTGACCCTATGGGCTTGTAACATCGTGTGTTGTGATTATACATTTTGGGTTCGCCAAATTGAAACATGACCTAGCAAAACCATAAAGTTTGCTGTCATATGGTGTTCTATGCATGTTTGTTTGTTTTTATGAATAGAAACATTTACAACTACATCACTTGAAACAAAAAAAAAAGAAAAAAAAAAAGAGTAAAGATTCTTTGTCTGTAACCTGAAAAATATTTGGCTACAGGGAGTAAAAACCATACAAATTTATCTTCACTTGTTAACCAAAAATAAAACATGACAAATATTGAACTAGCTGCGATGTGAGCTGGTATAACAACAGTAAGAAATTCAGGCAAAAGTGGTGTTATGTAAATTAGCAGCATTATCCAAACTCCTGGAAAAAAAACCTGCGGGACTGAGGTATAGAAAAAGGAAAAGAATTCACAATGGACCTACTACAGCAAAACGAGTTATGTACACGGTAATCCACTGGTGTCCTGTGGACTGGTACAGTCTATGTGCTCCAAATGCTGGGCTTAAATTCACAGTGACTTTCATTGAAGTCCTGAATGGAAAAGTGTTTTTTTTCCATTGCAAACCGAGCTTCACGATGGCCTGATACCTGCCCTCCCTGCAGCAAGAAAGCCACCACTCCCAGTGGCACCACGGTGCTGGGCCAGGGCACACCCTGCTGCCAGAACAGCATCACGGGCTGGTTGCATGGGAATCCCAGCAAACGAGGCCCCTGCAGCCATGCATCCCTGTCAGAGAGCATCCCACCTCTCCCGTGCCGTGTCTGATGCGCCGTGCTCCCCTGCGCGCGCCCGGGCGCAGCGGCTGCAGCCGTGCGGTCCTTGTCTCCCAGCAGCGACTTCAGGGCAGCTGCATCTCGGGCAGGTCAGGCAGGTTGCAGGGCTGGCCCTGCGTGTGGTGGCTCTGCTGCTGCGGGTGCAGGAAGTAGCTCAAGGGGTTCTGCTGCGGGGTGTGGGGCGGCTGGAAAATGCGCTGCGTCGGAGCCCCCGGCACCAGCTCAGGACCTGGCATCTGTGGGGAGACACAAATTTGAGCAGTCAGACCTGCCCCATCACCCAGCTGTCCCTCTCCTGCTGCAGGGCTGATGACGATGGCCCAGATGTGTGCTAAAGTCCTAAACTTGAGGGTATGAGCTGTGCCCCTCAGGATGCTGTTGCTGTCAGCAAAACCAACAATGCCTGGAGAGCACAGAGGGGAAGCAGGATCCATCTGTCCTAACAGGCTCCTGGGGAGCCAGCAAGAATGGAGACCTCCAAAAGCTACTTGGAGGTACAATCTGCAAATCTTTCACTGGAAAGATCTTCAGACAACCAAGGATGAGGTCCTAGAGTAACCATGTACCCACCCATGGCTGGTACCTCAAAGACCTGGACTTGCTGTTTCACCCCCTGTTAAAGGGGGTCCTGTGTCCTCAAACTCTGGTTTACTGTGGCCCTGGAGCTATTCATCTGTTCCAGCATCATTATTCTGCTGTCCTCACTGCTGGTCTCAGAACATCAGTGCAGCCCATGAGGACACACACCCAAAGCAGGGACAGCTCCTGCCCACATTTGCTGACAACAGCGATTCATTTCTCACTTTAAATCCAGTCCTACTGTGTGGCTGCTTTCAGCTGAACCTACTCCTCTTGCTTTCTTTTCTACTGTCTTTGCCTGGAGGACTGTAACTTAACCTCTGCCATCCAGGCAAGGCTTGGAGAGCATGTTACTGATGAATTATTACTTTCAACAACCCCCTTTCCTTGGTGGTGTCACTAGTTCAGAATGTACTGATGTAAATTGTTGAAAAACAAAAATCACCTTGTCCAGAGATGTGTGTTGTGAAATACTCTTTTATTAAAAGAAAGCTGTGATGGCAGCTGATAAAAACCTTGCTCTGGTGAGATGTAACAGCAGGAGGCATGTTTTCCAAAGACTTATCATTTTTCATGACTACAGCAAGCTTCCCACCAGAGCTTCTCTGGATGAAAAGCTGTGTTTGAAAAACTGGGTATTTGAAAATATGGCCTTGAACAGGTGCAGAGGAAAGGCTGAATGCCTGGCTATGTGGAGATACAATGGGAATGGAGGATGTGCAAAGGCTGTGACCAGGTTTGATCAGTCAGACAAGCCCCATTTCTTAAAAAAACCCCAACCCATCCCTGGGCCTCCTCAGAAACCTGCTTCTGCTCCAATACCTGAAGGTAGAGGCGGTGCTGCTGAACCTGCTGCTGTGGCCACTGGTGCAGGTGAAGCTGTGTGTTGGCCTGGTGGGAAGCGAAGCTGGAGTGAGGGATCATCAGCGACGGGGAGAAGATGGGCGGCGGGGCTGGAGGTCGGACAGTGCTGCAGGTGACTGGCTGCCCCTGTGCTGGGGGAGGCAGGGACTGCTGCTCTGCAACAAACCTGCCACAAGGAGGAAAACCAGGCATGAGAGCCCACGCCCAGACCCACCCTCAGAGTGGGCACTGGGGAGCCCAGCTGCTGCAGGAACCAGCCTGGAGCAGGGCTGGTCAAACCATGCAGACCTTGCTGACAGGAGACCCCTGATTCCCTTCTGCCCACCAAGCATGGACTGGACCTTCTGAAAATTGAGGGTTTTAAGGTTGTACTGGTCAAGCATTTTATGCTCTGCAAAAGCCAGAAAATATTTAATTTTTTTAAAATGCACTTCATTTATCATAAAGTATTTTGTAATTAAAAAATATTCTCATTTTTCTCCTAACTGACTAGACTTTTGTTTTATTTCAGACTGAGACAATTCGTGTTTGTGTGACCAGGTACAAGTTTTTTCATGTCTTTTTCAGTGCCATAAAGTGCCCTGCTAAGACACTGCAGGAAAATAAGAGACTCACTTTCCTTGCTGCCTGCTGGCACTGCTCTGCACGGGCTGGCAACTGCTGTTGGCTGCGGGCATCATGGCTTGGATGGACTGATCCAACAGCATCCTGTGGTGGAAGGAAAACAGGATGGTCAGGGAAGGGAGAGGTCCGAGGTCCAAGTCCTGTCAATCTCTAGAAACAGCTCCTTGAAAATCCTCCAAGAAAGCAGGCAAACCACCACCCTGAATACAAGCTAATGAAACAGGATGCTTCTTATCACCTTACATCTCTCCTGTGAATACATGCTGAAAAGATTGGGATTGTGGAGATTGGAGAAGAGAAAGCTCCAGGAACATCTTATAGCACCTTCTAGTATCTAAAGGAGCTAAAAGAGAGCAGGAGAGGGACTTCTGACAAGGGCATGGAGTGACAGGACAAGGGGGACCGACTTTACACTGACAGAGGGTAGGGTTAGATTAATTTATGGAAATACATTGAGAAGAGGATTTAAGGCCCCTGATGATACAGCAGGATGTGCACAGCACCCTGCCTGCCTGCACACTGGGCTCACCCTGCAGAGGGAACATCCCCACGCTGGCTGTGGCATCCCCAGCCCATCACCCGAGCCCAGCCACGCCTGCCCTCCTTGCTGCCCACGTACTGCTGTTTTCTGCCACTGCCCCAGGATGGTCCCAGCAGGGCTGTGGGTACCTGAGGCTCCTGTCCTGGCTGTAGTCAGCTGGAGGCTGCCTCTCACTGCTGTCAGTCGGCCCCTGTGCAGCCACGGCGATGGGGTGTGCTTGGGGGAACACCATGGGGTTGTTGTAGAAGGGCACGGAGATGCTGGCCTGCCCTGGCACAGACATTTGCTGGCCTTGGCTTCCTCTCACTGGGTGCTGCTGCTTCTGCTGCTGTACCTGAAATGAAGACACAGGTACCCACATAAGTTTTAAAGCTCCCTAACGGAAGGCTAAAACAACCACTTACAGTGGGCAGATGGGAAAAGGATGAGGAACAAAAGGGTATTGTCCCTGAACACAGCAGTAGGAACAGTGTATCTATTCAAGACCACCAACCCATTAGCATTTATTGGCCCTGCAGGGCAGGTGTTGGCATCCCCAGACAGTCTTCTGAGAAATTAGAGTACAAGGGTAAGGACACAAAAGACTTGAAGAGGAAGAGAACAGCTTAATAGGGGAAGTGCAAATCTGAAGTCTCCAAGGAAAACATCTCATCGGTCATTTAAACCAGCAGTTTTGGCTTTTTTGTTTTTGAACAATTCAAGTCTTTCCCATCTTAATAGTGGATTTAGGTCTAGTGATGACAAAATTGTTTTTTCAAAGCTGCCTTCCAAGACTTCTCAGGCAGAGCTAAAGTAATCTTTTTAAATTATACCTACTCCTGTGTTATGAAGCCACAACTCTCACTGGCTATGAATAACAAGCACTGTGTTGATGAGAGCCCAGACCTCCCATTCACATCCTCCCCAGTCACCAGGAGGGCTCCAGCAGTCTCTGGGGTGTAAATGCTTTTTGGCTACCTGTTTATTTTTACAGTTGGGTGCCACTGTTCACAACTGACTCCTGGCACAAATTCCTCAATGCCAGCGATGCAGTAAAACCAACACAGAGGGGATGCATGGGACCACGGGGAGGAGTGACACGTCAGACAAGTGTTTAGAAGCTGGAAAAGGGGATGATGAAGACAATGAAGCAGCCAGTGACCTGGGGGGCTGTGCCACAGGGGTCCCTGAGGAATGGGTGCGGTGACAGCAGGTGGGTGCTGCAGTAGTGCTTTGTCCCCGTCAGGGCTGGCTGCTGTGACTTCTTGGCCGTGGTCTGCCTGGGCGTCCCCTGCGGCGGCGGCCTCCGGGGGCTGGGCTGCTGCACGGAGTTCAGGATGACGGGGATCGGCTGCTGCATCAGCATCTTTAAGTGAGAGAGGCACAGGAGTTGTGGTTGTACTGCCCGGCAGAAATCACACTGCAGCAGCAGCAGCATCTCGAAATCCAGGGGCAAAGTGAACCATGAGTAACAGAAAATCAAATGTTAGCTTGTTCATACCCAGGAACATTCCAGCTCCATTGTGCCTGCTGAGTTTAGCAGGAGGGATCCAGCAGCACTAACCAGACATAGAACCACCAAGCTTTTTGTGCACGAGAGACTTTGGATAAATTTGGGATTGCTTTTTTTAATCACGGAAATTACCGATTCAATACTCAGCCAGATATTGACATCACTCATCTCTCGGGAAACACCACTCCCACATCTGAAACCAAGTCACCAATTTGTCAAAAGTTCATTGCTGAATGCTTTCGCCACAGACAATTTTGTTACTGCTCTGTGTGCTCAAAGGAAAAGCAAATGACTGGTGAGTTTGGGGGCACCAGGGGCAGCAGGTACCTGCAGGTTGGAGTCCTGCACAAGCTGGAGCTGCTCCTTGATGACATGGAGCTCCTCTTGCTGCGTTTTGATGTCAGCTTGCAGGATGCGAGTCCTCTCCTCCAGCTGCTCTTTCAGCTGGTGCATCATCCCCAGCTGGGTGGGGAAATGGTACATGGGCTGCAGAGAATAGAGAAAAAAGACCAGTCCTGCCACTCACATCCATAGCAATACTGCATTTAGAAAAATGACTGCTTTTCAGCTTTTGCCATAAAAAATATGATGCTGACAAAATCACAATAGCATATTTAGCCAAAGTGCCACTGTAGCTCCAGAGCAGCAGCACATCTGGCTTACACGCAGTGCCTCCCTCCAGGTGTTGGTCTCTATAATTTCTGCATAGATGAAGTGTCTATACACAGGACTCTCCTGTCCCCTCAGGACAGCACCCTGCTGCTTGGGCCCACTTGTGTTTTGTGGCAGACTCTGTATCCAAACCCATGCCACACCTCCTGGCTGAGCTTTCAGTTGTGCTGCTAATGATATTTGGCAGATACCAGGCCCAAGTTAGGCTGCAATCCCACCTGGGGATCCTTCCTTCACACCTACACTGGCCATTTTCAATCCCTGTTTTATAGTCTGAAGATTTACTGCACTGACATCAAAGCCCTGTAAGGACAGACAGACAGACCTTGTCATTATGGTTTATGACTAATTTTTCTTGGGGTTTTTGTTTTCTTGTCTTTTCCTGGCCTAACTCAAGCCTTGCATGACATCCCCTTCCTCTACTAAACTCTTCAGCATTGTATTGGCCATTGTATTGTAGGTAGCTGCTAGAGATTCAGGGAAAAGCCTTCAGCAGCCCACAACACTTTTTACAAATGTAAACCTTCTCCTGTATTATTTCTTTGGGTGTCCCACCTGCTCTCTCTGCTTGCTGAAATAAGTGCAATAAGGCTGTTGCAGGTAAATCTCAGCAACAGAAAGGGCAGAGAAGCCTCGTCCCCACTCCGGGACGAGACAGCAAGGACATGAGGGCAGTGAACCAAAGTCACCCAGGCTGCCCTGCTGACAGGACACACCAGTGCACTTAACAAAAATAAACCACGTACCACCACAGGGTGCTGGGAGGGCACTGCCAGCTGGGCCATGGGGTGCTGAGAGGGGTGCTCACCACGGGCTTGAGGAGTGGCTATGGCCTAGAAATGAAAACTCGGCCTTACTGTAGGTCCATAGCACCTCTAGTGCAGAGCTGGCGCTTTAACAGCTCATACCAAGGATGAACAAGTGCAGGGAACTGCACAACTGAGATTGGAGATCTGAGGATAAGTCCGAAGGGAGAATTTAGGTTCCTGCATGCCCCTGATAATTTCAAGTCCGTGGTGTCAGCATCCATTTTGGATAAAGGCCATCTCATGTGTACAAACCCCAAGAAAAGAGGGTTGGTGGTGTGAAAAGGCATTTAGCCTGGAGGAGCAAACTGAATTCTGAAAGAAGGCAGCAGAGGAGCCTCTAGTGTCTCTTCACTGGCTCTGCCAGCCAGTGGCACTCTCAGCACCCTCAGAGTGTGGGATCCAGCATCTCTGAGGGTGAGGTCAATGCTTATTTTGCTCATTTCACTACAGCCTGAGAGAGGCTCCTGCCTCTGAGGAGCACTGACCTGTGTGCTGCCGGCCGCTGCCAGCCGCAGGGCTGCCTTGTCCCCCGGAGCCCCCGGCACCGACGGCCGGGTGGGAGTGCTGGTGTCCGTGCGCCGCATGGACGACGTGGCTGCGAAAGAGACATTCTCTGTCATACAGCAAACCCCTGCCTGGGCACCCTGGCTAAGCCTGAAATCCACATGTGCAGATAGGCACTGACCCAAACATGCCAAAGTGGGTTTTCAACCTGCCCCTCTATGGGCAGTTTGGCTCTCTGCCCCTCTGTGATCCCCCTGGCTCCCACCTCACTTGCGGGGTCCCCTCCTGATGCTAACCCCCATATTCAGCCGGCCCTCCATGGCTGTATCCAGATGAGATTGTTCTCCCCACGACAAGTATCTCAAGAAAAGTCCCCTGAGCTTCCTACTCATGGTCACACAGGGCACTTCTATCATCTTGCTGCCTCCCGCAGGGGAAGGAGGGCACTGATGGGAGCTGGGATGAAGCTGCCGGCCAAGGCAGGCATCCTTCTGTGCTCCTTCTGCAGGGATTTCACATGAGAGACCCCATAATAAAATTATATTATCCCAACATACAACTTTCATCAGTGAGCTTGGTTCAATCAAGCTACCGAGTCACCTCTTGTCCCCAGAACCACAGCGAACAGCCATGACCCTCAGCTGGTGACAAGCCGGGAAATCGGCTCTCACAAGAGAGGTGGCCGCGGCTCCGTTTCTGCTCTGTCACTTGTCATGACACGGTGTGTCGGTCCCATGCCGAGCATTCCCCTCCCACCCCGGTCCCTTCCAGCCGCTGTGCCCCAGCCCCGGCACGTACAGGTGGAGTCGGACAGGGTGGTGTGCGAGGAGCGCCGGGAGCTGTGCGAGGACAGCGACACTCCCTCCCGGCTGGCGTCCTGGCTGCTGCCGCACTGCCCCACCTCCAGGTAGCTGCTGTGGCTCTGCGGGAGCGAAGCACAGGCGGTGAGAGCGAAGCACAGGCGGTGAGAGCGAAGCACAGGCGGTGAGAGCGGCCCGGGAAGGGTCCCCGCCTCCCGAGGCCCTGTCCGCACACAAACCCAGCGGGCCCGCACCGCGCCGCCCGCCCGGCCCCTCCGCGCCCGGCCCCGGCACGCAGGGCCCCCACAGCCCTGGGCACCGCGAGCAGCAGCCGAGGATCGCTCCTGCCCGGGGATGCTGCCCATGCACTCTGCTGGGCCAGCCCCCTTCTCCCCTGCCCACGGTGGCTACGGAAAATCAGCTTCTGTCAGCCTCTTTCTGCCCGGCCTCTGCAGGGATGTCACAGCCGTGGTGCCTGGGGGTGGTGACAAGGGGAATGAATGAAGGTGGCTGGAGGCGCTACCTGGGGAATGGTTTTATCCATGGAAGAGATGGAGAGACATGACTGGGAAGGGACAGGGAGCAGTGGCATGGGCACATCAGCTGGAGCCCCAAGAGGACCTAGAGCAAACGTCTCCTGAGGGGGACAGGTACTGGGCAGTGCTGAGAGCTGCAATCCCACTCACTGCTCCTGGAGCAGCCTGCTCTGGGCAGCACTGGGCAGCAGAGGGGAACAGCCTGAGCTCCCATAAAATAATGTCTGAACAGCAATGAGGCTGATGGAATGACAACTACACTCCAACCCACTTGAAATTACTTTGATTGATGGTCTTATTTGTAAACTACCAAGAGGAGAAAATTAAAGGTAGTGAAAATGACCCTGTTACTTGGGCTGGTGTGTGGTGATGCCAGATTGACTCAAGCCATGGAAATTATTGCTTGTGGAAGTTATAGGTCACAATCCTACACTTGGTGTGATCCAGCAACTGAGCTGAAATCTTGGTGTTTTCCCTTGCCTTCCCATCTTCATCTGAGCATCAGTGATGAGCTGGCACAAGCAAAACAGATACCCTGTGGTACTGCCCTACTCTTGGATCCTCTGTGCCTTACTAAGGGTGACAAGCACAGCAGTCTGGTTTCCAGCTCTACTTCTCTGCTTCTGAGCTGAGGTGGTTTAACCTGTCATCTGTATCATGGTCTCAGAAAGATTACAGGGACCAGAACAGACCAATGCAACTGCTGAATTCACAGCTATTGTGGAATCAGAGAATGTTTGGTGTTACAGATCATCTAGCTTCAATCCCCCTGCCATGGAGAGGGACATCTTCCTCTAGATCAGGCAGTTCAAAGCTCATCCAGCCTGTCCTAAACCAACATGGACTATTTGGAGCCATGCACCAGAAAGCTTCTTAGGGTCTGCCCGAGTCATAACCCAGCTCAAGGCTTGGAATGAAATGTGAGTAAAGAAGATGGAGAAGAACAGATATTTTCTTTAGATTGGTAAGCTATTACTCAGGCTGGTTTAAACATCTCATTCAAATATGAAGGAACAAGGTACCTTTAGAGAAGAGGATGCCAGTTCAATTGATGACTCTTCGAGGCCAAGATCTCGCCTTCTCTCAGCCCGAACTTCTGCATAACTAAAAAAACCCCAAAAACAAAACAAAAAAACCCACCAAAACAAAACAAAAATCAACAAAAAATTATTTTACAGCTTCTGTGCAGGTAGGCTGCCACAACAAGTGTACATTATTTTCTAACCTGATGAGGATGAACAAGCATCCCTTTTTTTGCATGGTAGTTCAGATCCCTATGACAATGCCTTGGGCAGGATGAAGTCAGGTCCCTCCTTCTGAGTGTGCACAGAGCTGTGCATGCATCAGAGCTAACATCCTGCACTTCAGTGGAAGCTCCAAATACAAACAGGCAGCTACACAGGTGCAATGTGAAGTGCAGAAACCCCTACAAGGTGCTTCTGGAACTGTATATTTTCTTCCCTTACTTTTTCCCTCTGAAATAATGAAATATTTACAGTAACAAATGCCACATGATTCACCAGTGGGATAAATTGGAGAGGATGTTTCAAAGACTCTCTGAGTGCTTATGCATCATGGGCACTGAGAAGTGCCAGACTTTAGGGTGATGAAATATTAATGAGCTGCAGCCTTAGTGAGAAGCAAGAGAAGTTGCTGAACCGACCTCACTTATGTCATTGTGGCAATGAATTTTCCTGAAAGAACATTTTAACTTGTGTGCTTCAGTAACATATTTTAAGTCTTAACTATCTGAGACAGAACTGAACTTCAAAATCTCTTTAGGACTACATTGCTAGGTTTAAGAGGCACTGGAAGCAGAAAGAAGAAACAAGGGCATGAACAATAAATTCAGCCCTTAAAATGAAGCTGAATTCCCTGAAGGATGGCAGAAGTAAGACAACTGAGAAGTAATCTCTCTGTGTAATATTTGCTTATGTTAACACTTCATATGTAGTTTATACCACAGATCATAGAATCAATAGAATTTGTGTTGAAAAGGACCTTAAAAATTATCTGTTTCCAAGCCCTCTACTGTGGGCAGAACACCTTCCACTAGACCAGGTTGTTCAGGGCCCAGCCAACCTGGCCTTGAATATTTCCAGAGATGGGGCAGCCACAGCTTCTCTGGGCTTGCAGTGCCTCACCATTCTCACAGGGAAGGATTTCTACATAAGATCTAATCTAAACCTGTCTCTGACAGTTTGTAGCCATTCCCCCTTGTTCTACTACTCCTTAACTCCTTCTCTAGCTCTCTTGGAGCTCCCTTAGGCACTGGAAGAAGCTTTAAGGTCTCTCTGGAGCCTTTTCTTCTCCAGGCTGAACAACTCCAGCTCTCTCTTCCTGTCTTCACAGGAGAGGTGCTCTAGCCCTCTGAGCACCTTCACGGCCCTCCTCTGGCTCACTCCAACAAACCCATACATTTCACATTTACTAGTGCTTGCTCTTTCAGATGTTTGACAGAAAAACAGGGGAACCAGAAAAAAATTGATTCTGGACAGTACAAAAATACAGTGAGCAATATGTATACTCAAGTTAATAGAGCAAACCAGTGTGTCACTATTTTTTCAAGCCCTTCAGAAAATATATTCTTGCTCTTCACATTGTCTTTTTTGAGACAGCTGTGCTAATCCAGCAGATTCCCCTCTGCATTCACAGAGCATCCTACACATGCACTAACCTCCAGCACGGGCTGCAGCTCAGCACAAGCAGCTTCCCACTAGGGGGGGATCCAGGGCTGGATTTGGGTGAGGAATAAGGCCAGCAAGCCAGCAGCTAACTTCAAGTCATAAATATTTAAAGCTCTGATCAAAAGGTTTTGTAGGAGTTATGATCTCATTCATGCCCAGAAAGATGTCTGACTCCCAACAGCTTTAATTCTTTCTGTGGCCATGTCATCACTAGGGACAAAAGGGGAATGTAACACACTGATAGATTTGGCCAAAACTGGCTTCCAGACTTTTGGCTCATTTGGTTAACATGAAACAGAACTAGAAAAAGCAATGGCTGTACACTGAGACGTGACACACTGTGGAGAGTTTGGTGCTTGCTCCTACCTAACTACCAGATGAGTGCAAACGATGAACTCAGGCTTGGAGTTCCACTGGTGGTAGGTGATGTAGTAGTGTGTCTGCAGCCATATCCACTGCTGCCCTTTGGTCAGGAACCGATAGTAGCAGGATTTGCCTTTTCCAAACTGCATCACTGTTGAACAAAAAGAGAAACAATTTATAGCAAACAGGCATTTTATGGTGCAAAGGTGATCTAATCACCATTCAGTCCCACACCCCTGGGAAGTGCTAAAATGGTTCTTGAGCTTTAGGAACAAGACAGATGATACATAACCATGTACTCAGCTTTTGTTTGGGGTCATTCCTGCTGACTTTCAGGAGAGCCCTTTGCTATTTTGAGATTTCTCTTATAACTGATATAACTATATAACTAGCTACATTCTTATAACTTATGGGCTCCCTGAAATAAGCATAAAAAACATTAATTAAATAAATTATTTGCCTTTCATAAGAACATGAAAATGCATTTCAAAGACTGAAGATGTGAAGTAAGAATCCTAAAAATGGCATAAAGCAACAAGATAGTGGAGTTTTAACTGAGGGGTTTCTTCTAAGACCTGGCCTACTCCAACCTGGTTTGTATTATCAAGCTATGTCCAGAAAAAATCCAGGTGCTGTAATACAACTGGAAAATAGTGAGGGGAACTATGTTAAATAACCTAATTGTTCCAGACTGCTGGGAGTACAAAATGAAACATGCTCACCTAAAGTACCCACAATTAATGCAAAGTAAAATACAAACATGGTTTAAACAAACCCATTTCACTCGACAGTAGGCAAGATGTCTGCCCAAAGAGTCAACATGACAAACAGAAACCCAGCGAGCCACACTAACCCAAGTGGTTTTTTACGCACCTTTTCACCTCTATTTCATTAAAATATCAAGACTGACTTCTTTAACGATCCCATTAACAGTGATGGTTTTTAGATGAATCACTTAGCAGAGATTTTCTGGCTAACATGACATGCTGGGGATCCCTCAGTTCCTAGTCCTGGCAGACATGTCCTGAAGAAACTTCTCTAAGTCACTTTGCCAGCGCTTTACTTTGTTTCCCTGTGCAGTAAAATGAAAAGATCCTTTCCTACAAGTGTGTAGTGAAAATATTCTTTTAATTGGTAGACATTCCAGAGGAATGCCTGGATGATAGAGATGTAGAATATAAATCATCAAATTGATTCTCTGCTGAATGATCTGAATCACTCTCAATACAGTTTGTGTCTATACCAACTGCACATGCATTACCAAAAGTCTGGTGAAGTATCTCACTTGTAGCTGAATTGTCTTTTAAGCAAACAGCACTAAGAATTACAGTACTTGAGAGCAGTTAAAACCCTCTGTTAATATTCCCATCTACACTTTTGCTGCATTTGACACAACTTGTGTGTCCCCCTGTCACAGCTTTCTCCATGTGCTCAGTCAGGCTACCCAGTTCCCTGGCAGCTTTGCCTGGACAGGGCAGAGCAGCCAGCAGGGAAGTGCAGCAGGGAAACTTGACCTGCAGAGAAGTATTTTTCCCCATTCCATTCTAGGTCCCTCAGCTCCTCATATATGTAAGAGGTAGAAAGTTTGTGGTAGAGATGAAGGTTGTTTGCAGATTTTCTCCAGTGGGCTGTGGGGCTTCTTGGTGGAGTTTCTTGGTCCCAGCATCGTGCTTGCTCTGCATCTCAGAGCAATTACAGCATCCTGCTTGCTCCACTCTCTGGGGACTCCTTGTTTCCTTTGGACAAAACACTCTCCTTTCAAGCAGAGATACAGACTGTGTCCCCAACATGAAAGCTATAAGTAATGTTTCTTAGCAAAATACCTGATTACCTAGATGCATTTTACAAAGTATGTAGTTATTTTTCATTGCAGTGCTTGGCAATGCAAAACCACCACAGGGCACACATAACTCTGTCTCAGTATCTCAGTCTGAAATGCACCCAGTAAAATGGAAAAATCTGGGTCTTGGGGATAAAGCATCTCACAGCTGGTAGGAATTGCACACTGATTAAGAGTAGACCACACCTGCAGACATCTTCTGCCCTTCCTCATGTTAGCTCCAGCCCTCAGCAGGACACGGTTCCTCAGCACTGCGCTGCACTGACATGGAAATCATGTGAGTTGCCCTTTTGCCCTGGCTCTGACAGGCCACACTATTTCTCCTTCATGAAAATAAACTTCATGGACCTTCTTTGGTGTTCACACATTAGCCTGAACTTGACTCTTCTGCTTTGTTGTTTTCCTTTCAGGTTGACCAAACATGAGCCATCTTCACCCACAGGGAAACAGCGTTTAGTACTTTTGTATGTAAAACAATTCTGAATCTCCAGAAGCATTTTGGTAATGAGTAAGTGAGGTTCACAACACCTAATTGCACAGGCAGATGATCCAAATGATGCTCTCAAAAAATGTTTTGGTGAGTTGAGCCTCCTGGCTAACTCCAGAGCCCAGGGGAATGGCAAGACCCCACGAACTGTGATAAATCAACAAAACTCAGGGCAGAGGGGAGATAATTCTGACCCCCAATCTTTTAATCTCATTTCACTCTGAGACAACCTGTGCTCAAACAAGGTATCTGCCAATGTAGGAAACTTGCACAAAGAGTTCCTGATCTGAGGGAATTCTCAAGATTTCAACCTCCTAGGTAAGTGTCAGCTGTGACAGTCTGCCATGGAAAGGGAGAGTTCCCTCATGTTCCCAAAGAAATCTTCTGCAATGACAGCAAAAGGTTTTGCACAAGTGACAAAAGAGATCAGAGACAGACACATTGCAGAGGCAGGGCAACTTACAGTGTTCATGGCACCTAGCAAGAAGCTCCAGGTCATCTGCGTGGTAGTAATCATACCCTGATGTTCCCAGAACCTCAAAGGGTAAATATCCTATAATAGGTGGAGCCCTAGAAAGGAAGCAAAGGGCAAGGAGTGAGCACAAAACTTGACACTTTGACATCCTGGCAGATAAGCTGTGATACCAGCAACAAACACCATCGTTCACTTGGCAGGGAAATCTGGAGTGGATTTTCTTATATGCAGTGATGCATTCTCATACACAAACAAAAAACTGACAGCAAGGGAGAGGTAAAAATTGAGAAAATGAAAAGGTGTGTGTTTACTGTTTCACAGCCTATTCATTATGTGGGTGTAGAGAAAGGCATGTACATATGTGAGTGACTCAATTCATTAAGGATGCTTGTGAGACACAGCTTGAGAAATGCTATGGCTGATCCTGCACATAACAACTTGGAGCCAGAGTAAAATTATCCAGGTTGGATGTAAGTGTCATCTGGGTAGTAACTGTAGAAGACAGAGTAAGTGGGAAGCTGCAGTGTGTGTCACAACCAGCTTGGGAAAAAGTAATTGCTCCCCTGGAAAAACTTGGGAAACTGTAGCAACAAAACTTTCTGTGCTGGTAGTACAGATAGCAATGGGCATGGGGCTGATTTAGGGCTGATTTAGCTTTGTTGGTAGAGAAGGAACTGATGAAGTGTTTAGATAGGCATGTTGCAATGACTTACCTCACTATTCTGTTATCAAGTCTAGATTCTCCTTTTTCTAGGCAAAACATGAAATATTTTTAAAGCAGGTATCCTAACACAGCCTTCACTGGAGCCTGATAGCTTATGATTACAAAACAACACTGAAATGTGGGGAGAAAAGCACTGTTTTTGTCTCTGCTCCCTGTACCAGCACATCACTCTCCATCTCCCAGTGCTCAGGTACACTCCTGCCCCAAGCACTCAGCGAGGCAGGACCTGTGCTAATGTGGCTGCAGGATGTGCTGATCGTGTTCACCTGCCAGTTCAGTGTGCTCCTCAGGAACAGGGCAAAATGGTAAATAACTCAAAATGGGGCAGGCTGAAGGCAATGGTGCCCATCAAACCTGCCTCTCCTGCTGCCCCTCCCCTGGTCAGCTGAGTGCTCGTAAGGAAGAAGGCCATAAGTGGCCAAGACTATGAGGAAAAAGTTATTTCAGTGGTTTGGATGTATCAGTCCTGAGTTTCTTGGTTATTACTGTGTGAAATTCTCTCTTGGCTGAGCCACCCAGCTCCACATTTTTCCTTTTGAGAGACACAGTGGCCATGGGTAACTCAGCCACAGAGAGCCCAGGCAGGTCTATAACCTCCCTCCTCCCCACAGCTGTGGGCAGTCTGGCACCAGGAAATGGGGGGAGAAGGACAATCTGCTAAACAGCAGTTCCAGGAGGAGCAAGGTGTGAGCAGGAGCTCCCGAGTCCCAGCACAAGGGGTTAGCTGGGAGAGCCATGCCTCCACTTGACAGCAAATCCCTTGGAACAGAATGTGCTGAGCACACGGGGGTCTCTGTCACAATACAGCTTCATTTATTTAAGTAACTTTTCATAGCACTCTGTTCCTTTTCCTCATGTGACCCAGATTTCTGTTAGTGATGATAATATGTGTATTTATTAAAGTGTCCTTGCTGTGTCTTTGGCAGAATGCATCACTGTTTCTCCTATTTTTAATGTCAAACTCATATTCAAGACAATAGTGTCTTTCAGATGCACATCAGATAAACATTTAAGCTGATCAGGAAAGTATTATGCTTTCCTGAATATCACCAGAGTTCTTCATAAGAGAAAGCAACCACAAAATGCATCTGTCATTTAACAGGAGATGCCTTGTGGAGCAATTTAAAAGTGTCTTGTTAGCTTAAGTTCTAGCCCTGAGATCTGCAACTTGCTGTGCAAATGGGAATGCACAGTCTTTAGAGTGCCTTTTGGGTGCAGTCCTTTAATAAATGAAGGGAAAATAAGAACAGTGCCACAGTGAAGAAGAGAAACAGATAATTTTCTAAGCCAATGGGCTTCTCTTCCTCTACACATATTTACATATATACCCAGAAAACAGATTTTTCCTATTTTTCTCATGCTTATCCAGATCTATGGAATGTTTTCATTGCATCTGTCTTTACTCTGATTTGAATTGTGATCATGACAGCAAAGGTCCTGATTCCTGCTTCTGCTGGGTACCCTCTGTCCCTCAGTGTCAGGCAGCCTGTGGTGATGCAAATCAGCAAGAAACAGCAACATTTTCCAGTGCCCTGCAGATTGTACTGGAGAGAGCTTGGAATCAGTGATTAAACGAGACAACTCCCACGATCTCCTGCTCTTTCTTGGGTCTGAGCTCACTGCTTGCATCTGGATCTGTCACAAACTCTGCCTCAGCATCATCTTTATTTCCTCTCAGTAGCAATGCCTTCCCTTTTCTCTGGGATATCAGTGGGACTGGAGTGCCTGCAAGCACCCAGCACAGAGATTCCCCTCTGAGTCACAACCCAGGTACATCAAAAGACTCTTTGACAAGTTTCAAAGTAGCTCCTACTCACCTTTTTCACAGGAGCTGCTGGGACACAGCCCTGTGGAAAAGCAGCTCACTTCATCAGAGACGTGAGGGGCTTAGGGCTCTTTTACAAATATTAACATTAATCAGCTGATTCTAAAAAGGTGCATTATCAGGCAGGCCAATTAAAGTCTAACAAAGCCACTCCAGCAAGATCTCATCTCAATTAATAATTATCTGACTGTCCTAAACCACACACAATCAACTGTAGGGCTGTCACAGGGTCAGTTCCTCCTTGCTTCAAGGCATGATGTGAGGCAGACATCTTGTGTTCTATATAAATGAAAGTTATTACTCATTTGTATTTGCTCTCTCTTTTTCTTGCTCTAAATGTGGAGATGGTATTTAGATTCTTTTTCTCATCAATATTTTTTTCCTTAGAGCCTTATTAACTAGTCTTCTGTTTTTAGTAATGACTACCTTTGCACAGCTCACAAGGGGAGAGATAATGAAGAGGGCAGGATTTTGCTTATGCACATATGCCAAATACAGAGAAGTAAGAGAGTGAATAAAACCCTCCAGCTTCTTTTGAAGAAAATTAATCCTGAATTAAGCAGCTTAATAAACTGGTTCCAGTCTGTTTCATTCACCAAGCTGAATTCCAGCCCACCACACTGTATCGTCAAAAACTAATCTACAATTTAATAATAAAACCCACTGGTTTTTATTTTGTTTTTAGAAATACTATCATTTCTCAAGGTGAAAAGTCAAAAGTTTGTTGACACAGCAAAAGATTTAGGATTCCTGGAAGCTGCAGTTAAAGAACAAAGGAGCTAAACCAATATGGGAAACGTATTAGGACCCACACTGCTCACTTTCAATGACTTATTATCTTGGCTAGGAGATAAATATTCTTCTAGACATTTTCCATGTTTCTTACTTGCCTAAAATATGGAAAATAGTGAAGCATTTAAGGATGCCTAAGAGCTAAGTTCAGAGTATTGCTACTTACTAAATTGCATGTAATTAGAACTATTCCATTTGGGATCTCAGGCAATAGGTACACAAAGTTTTCTATTTTTAAACTACAGTTTATTTATTCTTCAGGGACTAAACCCAAATATCTTACCTGTGGTCCAAGAATAAAAACTTCCATTCTAAACTATGCCTTGATGTAAATTCTTCACATGGCTCTTCAACGTTGCAAAGCTCCTGCAAAATAGTGAATACATTTAGATATTTCATTCTATGAAATTACAAAAGTGCCTGCTATCAAAACCTAGCATGCATCTTTTTGCTATAATAAACCATAGCAAAACACAGTGCTTTTAAAGCACTTGACTTATTTTTCTCTAAGGAATGTGTAAGACTTGATTTACAGATGCATGAACTGATGAAAAATGCTGAATAGTTTACCTTGAGCTGAATTTCAGAGCTAGGATAAATAGTCAAAGAGTCTCGTCTTGCACTCTCCAGGCAAAATTCCCCAGCTTTTTGCAAATACTGGTATATGAATATGAATGACAGCTCCAAGTCCAGCCTCTACCTGAGCTGGCTAATGCCCCCTTGAGCAAGCAGCACCGAGGGCTGTTATCCCTGCACCAGTGCCATGGGACATTTACAGCCCAGCAGGAAGAGGCCAGGACACAAATTTTCAGTGTTTGAAGATGCAGATGACTTCCTTACACAAAGGAGTGGTGGATGCACGTCTTTGAAGGCTGCAAATTCCCAAGTGGTGTAAGCTGGTCACCTTGTCCTGGAGCTTCCCAGGCTGCCCCCTCCAAGACACCCCATCACAAAACCACCTCTTCTCAAAAGCAGCTCCAGCTTTATATCGTATCTTTCCAAAATACAGACTTATGTCATCTCCCACTCCCAGCCACAGCCACGTCCTCTCTCCTCTCCTCTCCCTGTGCTGCTGTCCCTGCTGCCAGCCCGGGCTGACCTTCAGGAACTGCGGCGTGACCAGACGAACAGTCGCGACCAGGCAGATCTGCTCCTCCGTGGCTGACCTGAAAGCCCGTGCAATAGCTGACTCAAAGCCATTACAGGAGGGTGTAGGCACTGCAAACAACCAGACAATTGATTTAAGAAGAGGAAGGAGAGGTTTCTTCTCATGTTAAGGCAGGTACAGTGACTGAAGAAACCCAAGCAACAAACTCCTCCGGCCCACAGGGTGATGCCACACTGATGTTATTTAAAGCACGACCCTTTAGGCTCCAAGCTACACAGCTGTATCCACCTACCCATGGCTTGCAGGGGAGTTTTGTAAGACAGCTCGGAGCAGCTCACAGTGTGCAGCTGCAGTCTCCTTGTCAATCTTTCTCCAGGCCAACATTTGCAAGATTCAGGATTTTACAGGCACCTCAAAGTACTTAATCTCTGTAAAGTGTCACTTCACTGCCACGAGTGAAACAGAATACCATATATTTCTGGCTATTTGAATAAGCAGGCTGCTTTACAATTGGCAGTGGGTTAAACAGAGGCATTTTGAGTCTAGTATCAGCTTTAGGCACAACATACAGAAGAGTGTACTCTTCTGATCAACAGATTCCCCACCACTTTTTTATGAAAAATATATCCAATGTATGCACATCTCATTCCATCCCTGACAATTATGGGGCATTTTCAGCAGAAACAGAGCCTTTACGATACTACAGATCAAGACAATTTAAAGGAGAGAGGTGGAGAGACAAAGGTAGGCTGGAACAGTAACTTACCATGAGTAAAATATTTAAAATCCACTACAAATTTCACATATTCATACATCAGGGGTTCATTTGGATCTAAGCTGCCTCTTGCTAAATGGCAACAAAACTCTATTTGTTTTTCTGCTGAAATGAGAGAAAGAGAGGGAGACACAGACAATGTTATTGGAAGTCTGCACTTTAGCTCTCTCACATATTTAATTTATCTACCAAGTGGTACCTGAGCACACCCTGCTGGGAAGCATCTGATACCCAGAAGTAAATACATAACTACTAGGAACAATTATCATGTTTCTTCTTGAGGAAATGTATTCTCACCCTTTTTTCCTGTCTTTGCAGTCACTCCAGTAAGCTGAGTGTGAAGCCCTGGCTGTACTGGTCAGCAGGATTTCCCCTGACTTCATGGACGTAGGATTTCATACAGAGCAGTTACATGGTGTTGCAGAACTCTGCTCTGGCACTGCTCAGTCAGACCAAAGGGCACTGAACTCACCCTGAGCCCTTCCATTAACAGTGGAGGGCACTGTGCCAAGCTCTAATCCAGTTTTCTGCCCCAAGTCTGAACTCTATGGATTAGACCACATGGCCTTCAACCTGAGGGAAACTACCCCCAGGCAGAACATCACCAGGCTGCTCAGAGCATCACCAGGCTGCTCAGAGCATCACCAGGCTGCTCAGCTCCCAGAATTGCTCAGTGGCCTTGCCAAACCCACTGGGAAAGGGGTGCAGGCTCAGCACAGGCTTCATGAAACACAGGTGTTGGGAAGATGCTGCTGTCTGCTCTGGTCCTGAGGACATTTTCTGTGAGGAAGGGACATGGGACAGCAGCCAGCAGTACAAATCCAGATGGATTGTTCAGATAGGAAGGCTGTTGCTTAAGTTACATTAGGGCTTCTCTTGTGTCCTGAGACATGCAAGCTTCCTAAGGAATAATGGTTCTGCTAAAACTGTTTGGGATTTCTCCAAATTTTTTTCCCTTGAGCCCTCACTCCTTTCTCAGGGTTAGTCTAGTATCCCATCTGGGGAAAAGCATCTACTATCTAAGGAGCAAAGCAAATGGTAAAACAAAGTCCTAACCAAAGAGCAAGTACTGGGAGCACATAGGAACATTAGAGATTTGATGCACTAAAACCCACAAATGCAGCAAAACAGAAGTGGCAGGCAAGAGCCAGCTGGAGAGCTCTGAGCAGACTTCCTGGGGAGCTGTTTACCTCTGACAAACTTCTCTGAATGACAGACAAGAGTAGAGCTTACCATTTAGAAAATCAGCTGCAACAGGATCTGTCATGAGCACATGTGGAGAAAGGAGCTTGTACACCTCGCTCTGCTCCCCCTCAGGCAGAAAGTTCAATATATTTTGGTCCACCAAATCTGACTGATACAAAAGAATGCTTTGTCATGTTCAGCAGTACAGCCTGACACAACCACATGCCTTTTCCCCCTCAGCAGAGCACAGACACTGCCAGTCTTGTGTGGATGCCTAAGCCAAGGAAGCCCAGGCAATCTGCAGATGGATCTAGGGCAGAATGTAACCCTTAGACTGTTTTACCCCAGGATTACTACCTATTTGCAAAAGGTTGATTGAGTCACAGATGCTGTCCTTCAGTTCAGACAGATACAGGCTGGAGAAGAAACCCTGCTACCCCAGCAATATAACATGATGAGAAGTGAAACATTTTTCTTTGAAAGCATGACACAGAAGAAGGGGAGTTCCTCCCTACATCCTCCATTTATCTTTGAGGCTGAACATCTGGCAAAATCAGCTTGACCTTCAGGTGATTCAGTGCTCATCAACCCACACACCCTGACTAAAGGGGTTCTACCAAAATGTCAGCACAGATTTGATCTTTGCACACAGGACATTCAGGTAACTGCATGCTTGAGTTTCCCCTCATATAGGGCATCCTTGGTGCTTCATGCTTGGCACCAGATACAGAGAAAAATGATTTTGAGGGGCCAAGCTGAAATTTCTGCATCTGACAACTAACGAGTTTCTGGAAGTTCTCATAGAAAACTCCGAGGCCACACATTTGTCACTAAAGACTATGGGCCCAAAGTAGAAAACCCCAATGTCATTCAAAGAGCATACATTAAGTTATGAAATAATATTTACATTATCTAAGAAGAGCTCCAGCATTTATTTCACAATCATAAGATTTTCCATTAACCTGGTGGGTCAGACACCTCCCAGACCTTTAGATGGATAGCCAAGTGATGAGCTATGAGCACAGTGATTTTGCATAGCTGGGTTTTTTTAAGCCAACTCATAGACCCTGGGAGGGAATCTGTTATTCACAGGAACTTGAGAAACTCCACAAGAGTTTCTTGGTTGACCTTCCACCCACAGTCAGTTCCCTCTTTGGTTGGACAAAACCAATCCCCAGCCCTGCACTGACTGATTTACACTAAGGAGGGGAATGAGCCTTCAGTGTAGTGCATGGGCAGAACTTACCGGTAAGTGTCCCAGCAGAGACGAAACACTGTCAGATACATAAATAATAATCCCATCAGTGGTAAGAGCAATGAGAAAGCCATCTAGTGCCTAATGATAATAGGCAGAAGAAAAAAAAAAGAAAAAAAAATCAAACCAGTATTATGCAATGGAAAAACTTAAATTATTTTAGACTCATTGATTCTTTAGTGATGCTTCTAACAGCTTAAACCTAGCAGAAATTAATCAAAGAAATTACATTCAATGTGGAAAAATAAAAATTACGCATGCTGTCTAATTCAACATTCTTTTTATATTCTTATTTTCTCATTCTCATTATTATTAAATTGACTTGTATTTTTCACACAGTGAGCATTTATTTAACATGAAGTGAGACAATGATGCTTAGAATTTCAACACCCACACAATCCTGCTGACTTCAGTCACTTCATTATGTGTTCTGAATTACACAATAGTTAACAAACTCGGTGTGTAAGGAGATGTCAGATATCATCGTGGCAAATACAGCTTTGTGGATGGATAGATGGATGGATAAGCAGAGACAGAAAAATTAAACAATGATGTATTTTTAGCAGTTTATGGACAATATGAAAAATATCTAAAGCCTTATTTATTTTGCTTAAAGCACTGATTTGTAAGGCTAGTGACAAAACAATTTTAAGGCTTATTTTGTTTCCCCTTTCTCATTTGCAGTGGTTTCTGTCCCAGAGTTAAATCTCTCTGTCCCTTTTAAGTCACTGCCTGTGCTTTTCCCCTTGGATATTGTGTTCTCCCTATTCTTTACAATATCTCCTTGTACCGTTTACGCAGTATCTGTCCTTATTCTTCTCTAACATCGAGATCTGGGAGGTTTAATAGCTGGTGAGCACTGTGCACAAAGCCAGCTCTTCTGAAGACACTGTCAGGCTGCTCTGCAGCTTAGCTACAGGGAGTCAAAGATGCAGCATTCACCATCTCCCCCACCTCACTGCCAGACTCTGCCTTTGCTCAAACTGAGTCCTCTCTGGAAAAAACCCACTGATTTTAACCAAACTGTTCAATGGTCTACCAGAGTCTGGCAAGCCAGCAGTTATTAGAGGGTTTGCTCTCCCCCACCACTTCCAATCTAAGGGGGAAATTTGTTTTGATTCAGCTGGAACAAGCTAGCTTGTTTGGCAAGAGAGATTCCCAGAAAGAACGAACAGACTTTTCCAGAGAGGTGAGTCATGACATCCTGATGAAAAGGAATAACTAAGGCACAGCAGCACCTCCCAGCTCAGCCCAGCATACACCCTTATTTTGGTGGGGCAAAGAGCAGCAGCTGCCCACGCAGGGCAGGAGATGTCCCTGCCAGAGGAGCGTGCAGCACAGACCCAGAGCCACATCCTTACGAGGGGAGAAATGGGGGTTTGGGGGATGTTTCTAGATCAGCAAAGCATTTTAGAGGTGGGAGTATAAGAGCTGGTTTCCTGAATGCACTTTAAGGCAATTCAAGCAGAAGAGGCAGCACTCCCATGGAGAAGACAGCAGCACACAGGCAGCAGCTGCAGAGGCAGCACAGGCAGTGCTGCCTGCCTAATGGGATGTGGGAGGAACAGAGCTGCTCTGCTTTTTTCCAGGTCCTTTCAAGTTTTTCTTAAAACTGCCAGCTGTAGTGGCTCTTCTGAGAAAAGAAAATTCTCTTTTTCCTCTCTCACCAGGCCAAATCAGCCTTGACTCCCAAACGAAAAGCCATTTATTTTTAAGGGGAAGCAATCTTATTTTTAATTCTCTGTTTGAAAAGCATTTAGTACAACATTGGTCTCTGTCAGGTGTATTATATGTGCCAGCAGAGTAGAAATCGTTAACATTGGGACCTACAGGTGAAAAAGAACTGTATATCCCTGAACTACTCCACTGAACTGATTATTTCTCAGTAATCTATTTAATTTCTTCTTACCTCTAACATCAACTGGGTGAACTCCTCGTTGCTAAGAAATGAAGGCTTCCAATCTTGTCTAATCTGACAGGCTTCTGTCTGTGCTGTGATTTCTTAAAGAGAAAATATCAAAAAAGCAACATGACTCATGCTACTTGAATTTTTTTTTCACTTTCAAGTAACACTAGATTTTTTTAAAGAGGCTGTGAGAGAAATCATCTTCTTATCATGCTTCACATAAAGGTTTCTTGCATGCAACAGTCATTTTCCATGCCATCATGATACAAATGCATTAGAAATCAAGAAAGGGAAATGGAGACATTTTAGGTAGCCTGAAGATAACCTTAAAAAATTAAGATCAATGGGTTAATTTTAGAGTAGTAGAGCATCCTTGTGAGCAAAGGGTGTCTGCAAGTCTGGAGCTGTTTCTTTCAACTCTGGAGCTGTTTCACAGCTGCTCTTGTGAGTGCCCAGGCAATAGGACAGGCTTATCTCCTAATCCAAGAGATCTGGGAAGATGGCATAGAATACTCTCTCCCTGAGTTTTGTAGCAGGTGCTGTTCTTCAGCTTTTCTTTTTGGGAGTGCACAAAGCAGGCCAGGGGATATGGAGGCCAGTGAGGGGAATGATGCATCCACAGTAGAAAGCACACAGCACTGCATCTTTTCAAATCTGTCTGTGTTTAACTGGGCAGCAATGTACTCAGCCCTGGCCCTTCTCCTGCCTTCTTCTGCCCTTTGCTCATGTGACTGAGATGCTTGGAAAAAACAGTTTGTATTTTCTGAATGGAAACTGTCTGCTGGGCAGATGCAGGGCCAGCACCCTCCTTTCTGAACCACCGCCCCAGTACCTTTCTGCTTCTGTAGGAAGTCGATGGTCCTCTGCAGTATTGTGGACTTGTCCATCTTGAGAGGGTGGCCGTGGCCCTGCAGCATCGTGCAAAGCTCCTTAATGAGGACATTGAACTGGTCCCTCCTCTTCTTCTCAGATTTGTTGCGTGATGCCCTGGGCGACAAAAACATAAATGTCACTAAGCAGAATAAAGGACCTACAGCACAAACCAGGGTGAGGTGATCTACCCTGCCCCACCAAAACACTTTAAATACAAGAGTCTAAACTCTGCTGGGAATGTTTATTTGTTTAAAATTGGGCTTGCACACAAAGATTTTGCTGGTACTTAGAGCCTTGTAGCAAAACTAAACTCACCAGCAGCAAGGAGCACCTGGAGGTAACACATATTTGGGTTCATTTGGGAAAGATCATAGCCTTACATACATTTCAGCAGCAATTCCCACTGTTTCAAAAGCAGTGATAGGGAAGGTGTTATGGAAGAAATTCTTCCAGTAAGAGAAAAGTATGTTCATGCATATTCATGTTTTGCTCACTTAATTTTTATGAATTTTTGTTTTGCAGTTAGTACACACACATATAAATGTCAAAATGTGAAGGATTTCTCTGATTTACACTTGCAAAAGGAGCTTATCAAGAGACAGCACTGTGCAGAGGCAACTGAACTGCAGAATAAAATCTTGTATGTGGTCTTGAAAATCTACTGCTGTGATATATGAAATGGGAGTGTTACAGGTCTGGCTGCAGAACTACAACCAGTTTTCAGTTCACAAATCAAGAATATTTATTAGGCTTTCCCCCTCCATTAAAAACAATAAAGGAGAGAGCAAACCCATTTAGTTTCTTCCAAAGTGTTCTTTCCCAGGCTCATATCTGAGATAACACTTTTCATACAACCCCTTCCAATAGTAATTAATTTGCTTTACAAGTATATTCATGATGATACATGCTTCCTGAGATCTAGACTGAGGGTGGTATGCAGAAAGCATTTCCATTCATATTCAGGTTGGCATTTGGATGTTTTCAGATCCAGCACTCAAGTTCACAGCCATCTCTGTTTTGGCACTGGTGCACAATGACTAAACAGAACTGAGCCAAGTGCTTCTCTGACAGGAGATTAAGTCAGGCCTGTGCTAAAGCTAAGGGAACTCTACCCCAGGTGGGCAGAACTGCTTGATGCCAATAAAATCACAGGTCAGGAATCCTACTTCAAGACAATAAATAGCAATGGGAGAGCACAAGATCCTGAGGGCACAGCAGTGTAATTTAAGGACCACTCAGCCAGATAACCCATTGTAGGGGTGGCCAAACTCTGTGAGAAGCCTGAATGGTGACTTAAATTGTGCTGCTTGTGGTTCAGCTACACACAGCCTGTAAACTGTGTGGGAGCTTTGCCTCTGACATCAGTGGGGTCAAGTTCATTGTCAAGCACTGGATAGCACAACATTTACAGTTCTCCTCCAGGAGTGCATCTGTCATACCTCTTTGCCCTGTCCTTCTCATCTTCATCCATCAGTTCGTTTACACAACACAGGGCTCTGCAAGGAAAACACAGAAATACTTACTGAGACATATTCCCTGATCTTGCTAAGAATGTCCAAACATGGAGTGTAGTGGTTTATACCCAAAGACCAGGATGTTTCAATCTTCCCATTCCCAGATTCCCCTTTTGGTATGTCTTTCCTTGCTTGTTCAGTCAGCTACCAAGGCATGAGAAGTGAGACTGCTGCCACATGCCCAAACATCCATCTACAAGGACTTTAAAAGGAACGTCTAAAAGCTAGCAGCCCCTCAGCCTGCCTTTGCCCTGCCCTCTGAGCCAGGATGGGGAATCCTGCTGAAGCACCCATCTCTGCACAGGAATCAGCATCTTCCTGGCAAATGCAAGAGCAAAAGAGAGAGAAATCTGACCTGGTGTCTGCAGCAGGCAGCACCCCAGCTGGTCCTGCTCTGGGAAATCACACAGGTTATTGGTTGATTTCAATCACTGCCTGCCCTGATTGAAACATATCTGAGATTTCTTTTCCAGTGGAAAGACACAGCAGAAAGAAACTGTGCTAATCCCCTAAAGGATTTGCATTAGGCAGCAGCAGCCTACTAGCAGGATATCTAAGAGATGAGATGATAGACAGGTTCATCCAGAGCATCCTGCAGCCAATTGCATCCAGCTGCTTGGGCTGGTGGACTTTTCCCACATCACCTGAGCTGCGTCCTGGGATTCATGCCCAAGGCTTCAATTTAAAATATCCTCACCTGGCACTAACCAGGGAAGGAGAAGAGTTGGCAACAACTCTCAGTAAGGACACAGTACTCTCAAACCCCATTGAATGATGGAAAATACAACACAAGGGCAACTTTTTCGCTGGTGACTTTCTTTCTGTGACTCAGATGGGCTGAGTCTGAGGGACAGAGAGCCAGGGAGGTGCAGGTGAGGCAGCTGCTGTCACTCCACACCACGTTGCCCAGGTCAGCTCTGCTGGATTGCACCCCTTCAGACACCTCCAAAGAGGAAATCACACCCATCCCCACCATCAGAACCAATCTGCTCCCCACCTCCACTGAGCACTTTCCCTGCAAAACACCCCATGCTGCCCAGAACTCAAGGGAAATTTTTCAATAGGTACATCCAAAAACTTTTCTCTGTTTAGACACTGCTCCAAGTTCAAACAACTTGGTAGCTATAAAATAACAGAAACAAAACAGAACCACCCACAACTGTCAGGAAGTCAGGGATGCTGCTCACAGCAACAGCTACAAAATTTTATCCTTCCTTCCCTGCTCCAGGGCAAGGATCTCCCTCCCTGCAGATGACCTGGGCAGAAGATACTGTATGAATTCTTTTGTTATGAATGCATTCCATAGAGAGGGAGTGGTTCTTACTGCCTGAGTCACCAAAAGCTACAAACCAAATTAGAAATTACCTGTTCTATTCCTCAGATTCATCAGTCCAGACTGACAGAGTGGGATTAGCACTTCTTATCACCATGTAAATAGAGATGGAGAAAAATTAATCCTGGAAGGAAAAGCAAGTCCAGTTAGAACACAGTTGCAGGTAAGACTTAGCATGGACAGCTGCAATCACTTCAAGCTGAGAAAAGTCTGCCATCACAAATTAGAACCATGCTCAAGTATGACTAATGAAAGCTCAGCAAAGCGATGGGAGTTGGACCAAGTTCCTGGGCTCCTGGCTCTGTGGCACAACCTACTGCCACAGAAGCAGCCTGGGAAGGCCAATGTGACCTCTCATGTCCAAAAAGCTGTGTGACCCAGCAGGGTGGCAGAATGGCCCTACTGGCTTGGAGGCACTGAGGATCAACGGGAGTTCTTCCAAAGTTTACCTGGTGTGCTGTGAAAACCAGAAGTATGACCTGTACCTCATCTATCAAATCTTGCAACTAAAACCTCCTTCAAGACAAGCATGATCAGCAAAGTCAGCACAAGCCACAGCCACCCAGCTGTGAATGGATTAAAGGCCTCCCTTTAATACTTGCTGCTGATGGGACACACAAAATCTAGGGAAAATATCATGTAACTCCTGACACCCTCAGTGAAGCTGCAAGTGGAAACAGCTCCTGCATAGCAAACTTCAACTCAGGGGATCTGCTGTGTCTGTTCTCACAGTGGTGCTACCCCAGTCATGCTTTACTCCAGTTCAAAAGGAGCGTGTGACCTTATCTGTTACCCCATTGAGCTGAGGCTCCTGTCCCCGCTGCTCATCCCTCACTGCTGCTCTGTCAAAATCACTCAGTTGTTTCTTCTCTAGAAGAATGTCCCCTACAGAGGATTTGGTGACTGGGCATAAGTTCAAAGACACACAGGTATAAAGAAAAGTCTTCTTAAAGCAATGGGCTAAATTACGAAAAAATGCTTGTGGATACACAGAAAGAGCAATCAAAAATTATCAGGGAACGTTCTTTGTGTGCAGACTTGACCATGCAAAAATTCAGCTAAAGAAAAGGGTTTTTCCCAAGCCTGGAGTGAAAAGCATTATTTTATAGAAACTGTATTTTATGGAAACTTTGCCCACAGGTTGACTAACAACTGAAAGCCCCCAGGAAGCCTGGTGGGTTTCTGCCTCATTAGAATGGTTGGCCTCCCACCCAGCTGGAATAGCAGCAAGTGGAGGGAAACTGTTTGGGCACCAAGAGTCAACAATACAGATAATGCTCTCTGAGCCTCAACTGGGAAATGAAGCCTGGATTCTCCAGTCTCCAGGAGGAGCTATCATGCCAGGGACAGAGGAATTAGGCTTCCTAACAAATGTGAGCAAAGCCCTCAGCCAACACCAGACTTGGAGGAGCTCACAGAATAAAAGCCATTCACAGGCCCAACCACACAGAGCAGCTTTTTCATGATGCAGCAGGACGGTGAGCAAGAAAAAGTTTTAGCAGAAGACACCTAAGGACAAAATAATCTTAACTGGATTAAGCACTTCAGGACTGCATTTAGCTAAGTGCATTTTGTCTTGTTGTAAGACAGAGCTAAATATAGTAACCGGAATACTTAAGAATAGTTTCATAAGGGTTGTATACATTCCTCAGCCAGCTAAGACACTTAGCACTACTGACAGCAGTATGTCTGCAGGTTAAGAGTATTTTAAATAGATCCAGATAGAATCTCTTTGACCTTAACTGCATTAACCAGAGGGATCAAAATTTATTTATTGCCTCCTGAAAATCCCCTTCTGTAACACTTTGAGAGAGCAATTCCAGAACTCTGTGGGCAGGTAGAGGAAACTTGTCAGTGCTCCTGGCATTGTTTCTCACCCCACCTACAACAGGTGAGGATCAGGTTTCTCACAAAGCAATGCACATCCATCACTGCTTAATGCCCTCTGTCAAGGGAAATTATTTTTTCCTTCCTTTGTACAGGGAGTCTCAAAAACCACTCATAGCATTCTAAGGGTACATTATACATCAGACTTTTCAAATATCACAGCATTTGAAGTTGTTTCCAGGGTTACAGAAAGTGTAATGTAGCCAAATGACAGCCTTCAAAAGACAAATGGACTTAGCAGTCAGCAACTAATAGTTAAAGCATTATTCCGTGCTATCTGCTATATTCTGGCACATTTTTTACTGAAGAGAGAATGGCAGAGGGAGAGAGAACAGCAGAACTCTCTGACTTCAGGAGCTATCTAAAACTGTAAACCTGTAAGTAAAGAAAATGTTTATTTATTGACTTGCTGCAAACCATCAAAATATTAACATTACCTTAGGATAATTCTTAATGGAACAGTCAGATTTGTGTCCTGAAACCAGCAGTTCCTATTAATGTTTCATTATAGGTTAAATTTTAGTTATTTGGTTATGACACACGTGGCAAGGCAAAGATATTTCTGTGAGAGATGCTGCCCATTTCTTTGTGATAAGCAATGAATAAAGCTTTCACCTAAAAGTGTGCCTGAATCCAGATGATTTGATTGCTTTTTCCAGCTATAACAACTGGTCTAATGAAAAACATTCTCTATGCATAGAAACTTAGTTCTGCTTGTATTTGAGTTTCCACAGAATTTCACATTAAAGAGTTTTGCATTAACTCATACAGCAGTTAGGGAGTCTTCAAATCTATACCGTAGGAAACACTTTAATTATGGAAATGTGCTGTGCTAATAATTCTCACAGACTTTGCATGCAATGAATTCATCAGAGAGCCCTTAATTACAAGATGCAGCACTTTGTGGCACGATGCAGTCTCAAATAAGAGAGATAACACATTCTCCAGCAATATGTTTTACACGTCAGTACGCCAGTGTTTCATTATTCTTGAGGCAACAGGAGGGCACGACTGTGGCTGGCAGCAAAACAGCTGATTTCATTTTTAAAAGGCAGAATTTAACCTCTTCACTAAAGTGCTGGTTCAACTCTAAGATGCTTATGTAGATGGCATTTGAAAACCCAAGCAGTGTGGCTGGGTCCCTGTGGCTGTTTAGCACAGGAAGGATCAGCATCTCTGCTGATGCCCAGCAGCCCTGAAGTCACAGCCTGGCTGCCAGCGCTGTGCCACTCACCCCATGCTCCCAGCCATCCTCCTGTCACACAGACAGATGTTTGCCCCAGTGGCACAGAAGTGGGCAAGAGCAGCAGTGGCAGCTCAGCACTGCTGGGGCATTCCCATCTGCCACAGCACCACAGGGCACGGCCTCACCACTGCTGTGTCACAGAAACACAGAAACACACAGACCTAAACCAGGTGTGGCAAAGGAGTTGCATATCTGTGTTATTTGATCTGCTTGCTAAATTTTTTCTGCCTCTATTTCACCCTCTCCTTTCCTTGCCATGCCTTGCCTTCTGTTCTTCACTCTTTTCTGCCCTTCCCTCACTTATCCCCATTGGATCACCATTCAGAGAATTGGATCTCTTTTGAATGTGGTTTTCTCTCCGTCTTGTTTCTAATATGACCTGCCTTGATCTTTCCATTGCTGTTTCATCTCTATGTTCTTCACTTTCTTCTTCTCCAAAGAGAAGAAATGTACAATGATCTCAGTTTTGACAAGCACCCAGGCATCTCATGGTGGGAACTTGGCTTGCCCAGGTCTGAGGCACACAGGACTGACAGGTTCTCTTTATGGACACACCACCTGAGGAATCGAGCTGTGTCCAGCTCCAGGAGCACTGGGTCCTGTCCTGCCTGGCAGCTCCCAGTCCCAGTTTCAGACCCTCTTTGGAGGAACTGGGATCTCCCTCAGGTCAGTGGTCCAGCAGAGCACACCCACCCACAGCAGCCACACACTCTGCATCTCTTTGGGGCTATTATGACTCTACTTGTACTTTCACACATCTTTGTTTGCTAGAACGTGGGTGATGGTGGTCGCTGGGGGAGGGAACCAAATGTTCTGTGTTTCCCCTTTGTTAACTGGCCATAAGTGGACTTTTTGTGCTGCTATTCTAACTGTTGCATCCCAATACACTTATCTACAGCATACTCTCCCCTGGTTTATTGAGCTTTAAATTTAGCTTGTTACCTGTGACAGATTTATGACTATATTCATTATAGCAACTTCAGACAGAAGCTAAAAAGTGTCCAAAGAAAATGGATTATACAAAACAATTACACCATAAAAAAGGCTGTAATGGAATACTGTGATTCAGCACAAAAGTGAAATGAAAGATACAGGCAGGAACAATGGTGGTGTGTTGGATTTTTTGTGTTTTGTGTTTTGTTTTGGTTTTTGTTTTGTTTTTAACAAATATATGGTGCTTCTGCAAAACGAAAGGCAGAAAAGGATTAAAAACTAACAGATACTTGAAAAGACAAGATAACTGGAACATTTTGTTCTCTAGGATTTTTGTCAGATCCTGGAGAAAATAGCTGTCCAAGTTTGCTCTGTCCTAGCAAATTGCTGAACCTTGCAGGGTAAAGATGCAACATTGTAGAATATTATTCAAAATGTCTCTGGGGTTTCTGTAACAAGAAGAACATGCATCTAATTAATTCTACCAATTTGTCTAATGGCCCCTTAAAATTCCCAAAACATGGCAAAAAGCAGAATGCTGATTCACAACCCTAAGAAATACAAAACTGTACTTTTAGCACAAGCAAAATAATATTTCTTCTGCAGTCTTGGATGGATACCTGTGTTCATTTGTTGCTATTCAGTTACTACAGGAAAGGTAAATAAATGTGTGTTGTGATATGAAATACTGATATCCAACCTATAAACAATTCTTTACCATACCTGACTCAGACAAAGAGCCAAATAATCCTCAAATAATAACAGGACTCTCCCTCACACAGAATGAGAACAAAGGTAGTTGCTCACAGTCAATCCTTCAGCAGCAGTTGAGATTATGTATTTTCAGGGAACTACTTCCAGGAAAGGTACATAGAGCTAAAGAGAACGCAGGAATATTTAAAGTGAATGGACAAAAGTCTTTTGAACAGAATGTTCTCCAAAACTTCCAGCTCTTAAATCTCTGTTTCTGTTTCTAGCTGATCCAAATGATGCAAATGCATGTGTGTGGGGGTGAGTGCATAAACACATATTTTACTTCAGTGCAATTTGCAAAAAAA